ATTTTCCAGGAGATATTGATCAATTAGTGACCATACATGCAGTCCTGGATAACATTGTAAGATTTGACAAAATAGAATTTACTATATTTTTAAAATAATTCCTGATTGACTGCTGTTGATCAAAATTATAGTATTATTATAAATGCAAAAGTATAGTATAAAATATCATTAGTTATTACTTACACTCTAATCAGTCATCATCATTTGTTTTTTTTATCTATCTCGCAGTCCATTCCTCTTGTTTATGCACTTACAAATCAAAGAACAGAGTCAGTATACATAAGATTGTGGCAGTTTTTAACAACAGATCTGCCTTTTGAACTTTTTGAATGGAATAGAATGCAAATTATTGCAGACTTTGAAATGGCTCAACGAAATGCCATTCGAAGAGTAATACCGGACTGTCGATTAGTTGGATGCTGGTTCCATTTCAATCAGGTTAACACATTTTCATATAAAATTTGCACCACAAAAATTACATATTTTATCATTTAAATTTGTGTATATAGTGTATACTAATAGTATAAAATTTAATAAAATATTTTTGGTAACAGAGCATTGTAAGATATATTCGCACACATGGCATGAATGAAATTGTTCGCAACAACTATAATGTAGCCACCATTATCCGAATGGTAGGCTTATAACACCATATAGTTAGATATTCTATAAAACTTTCTAATATTTATTTATTGTTTTATTTAAGATCACTGCACTGCCACATTTACCTCCGGAAAGGGACCCTCAATTGCCAATTGACTTCCATATCACTGGAGGGTTTTTTGTGATCCAACAATTGGCGAGGCATATGGACATAATGCAATATTTTGACGATATGTTTAATTACATTCAACATTACTGGATCGATACTGTAGGTCCAGTTGGATTTTCAGTGTATGGATTAAATATTCGGACAAATAACTATGTGGAGAGTTTCCATAGTATGCTGAAAACCACCATTGGTCAACACCCTCCAGTTTGGACATTCTATGGTAAGTTCAGTGAAATATTTAGTTGAGTTATTATATTATACAACTAAAATATTAAAAAATAATATGAATATTTTTGAATACAGACAGACTTCGTTCAGTAGAATCTCGAGTTAGACGAGAAACCAGACAAATAATAAATGGACATCAGGTTAAATTTATTTATAATTTAATATTTCTTGTTGCTTAATGGTTTTTTTATTTTCAGGTTCGTAGATCAATTATCACAAGTCGGGATAGAAATAATGAGGTCTTACAAAATGCTCTTCGACTAGTAAGGAATGGTCGATATAACACCTCATCCTTCCTTAGAAGAGTCGCACATGTGGCGAGAGGATACTTGGACAATGAAATCGGTCCATTACCTAATGGTAAATATTAAGTTTTAGTCTTCTAATAAATATGTCTCCGTATAAATTATATATTTATAACATTATAATATTAAGCTACTCACATTTGATATAGTACATCAGGAAGATGAAATTCAGCAGCTACCACCTGTACAACTTGAACCGCTGTTACCACCTCCTCTTACGGCAAATAATGGCCGTCAAATAGCACAAAGAAGAGGACGTGGGGGGCGAGGTAACCGCATTAACCCTCAAATTCAAAGACGCCGCGGACGACCTCGTGGTCAAGTTCAACCCGGTAGAGGTCGTGGGCAACTAATAGGCAAGTTTACAACCTAAAGATATATTAGATTATAAAATTGTATACGTTTTAACTATTTATTCTAGATGTACTTGTCGAACCAGCAGTGGAAGAAGACATAGTTGTTGTTAGACCGGACTCCCCTTATTTTGAAGGTTGGTATATTATTAAATTTTTGAAATTACGTATATAAGTTTGAATTTCTTATTCCAGATGTACCTGTTGAACCACCAATAGGTGAAGATGAAGTTATTGTCGTCAGACCGGATGAAGCTAATTTTGAAGGTAAATTCACAAATCATTTTGATTTGACTTTGAATCAAATTTTAACAACTGGTATTAATGTATAATATTTCTACATTTAGATGTTATTTTGGAAGAAGGGTTTCATCAACCAGTTGAACCAATTGTACAACAAAATTCTCCTGAAATTGAAGGTATTTGTTATGTTAATAACACACTAATTAATATTTAAATAAACATTTACAAATTTGAGACACTTAACTGAGAATTAAATATAATTTTGTTAGTACAAATTGTGGTACCTGACATGATTATGGCAGAGCAAGCAAGGCCTCCACAAGATATACCACTTGTCAATGGTAAGCTATAGTTTATAAATAAATTAGTGATAAACAAATATTTTAAATACCACATAATTTGCATACAGATGATCATCTATTGGACAGGTGTTTTATCTGTCTGAATGATTATGCAGATGTTGGTAGTGCAAACATTCTTATCCCATGTGGGCATGGATGGTGTTGCGATTCATGTGGATTAAGGCTCAACAACTGTCCAATATGTACAGACCAATTTCCGCGGATGCAAAGAATCCAGATTATGCATATTAACTATGGAACACAGAGTAAATACTTTAATTAATTACTTTTTTTTATATTTTGGCAAGTAATTTCTTATTTTCTAGGAACCTGGTTACAAAATAATAACTTGGCTGATCCGACTGGAAGTCAATGCTTGGGATGCATGAGACAAATGCGGGATGTACCAAATAGGGCACGTTACATCTATATTTACTGTGGGCACGGATGGTTTTGTTCTGATTGCATCTTGCCATTACCAGCCATGTGTGAGATATGCAATGACACTGTAGATGGTAGCATAAAAATGTATATAATATAGTACCTATTACAAGTAGAATAAATTGTATTTTTTTTTTTTTTAAGTTCAAACAAAACTTTAACTTTAATTTATTAGTTTAGATGTATCTTTATATTTAAGCCCACAACATTTTTTTTAATAGAGTATATAGTATATAGTATATTTTATAGATTTTATTTAATTTTTAAGGAAATCAAAGATAAAGATTTTGTTATAAATGTAAGTAATGACAATATTAGTAAAACTAAAATATATTTATGGGATAAAAATGAGATAAATGGTTTTTAATTTATTAAAACAGAAGTTAAAAATTGAAATCATTTATGTATAGTATAATGAAATGCATGGTGATTATTACCCAGAAAAAATTCTATTTTTGCTACAATTTTTTTCTCCAGAAATGTGGGCTGCTTAAGTAAGTAAAAAAATCTTAAGTAAAATAGTATGTTTTTGAAATAAAACAATGTAATAGAAATTTGAATTATATTTTTTGTAGTACCTATGTAGTAAGTACCCATTTACTAAGTACAATCAACATTATGTGTAAAATATACAGTTGTTTTTCTCAAAACGCCAACATATAAAATAACAAAATAAAAATATACTTAAATTTTGTAATCAATTCATAATAATGTAAGGAATATTGAACCATTGGATCATCTTATTGACCATAGTCCATACATAAGTGAAAACACATGTTTAAACTTTAAATTCATAATATCTAGTATTGCCTACATGAATTTATTCTAATACATGGATGTCATTGTATAATCAGTAACCTATATTTTATGTACGTTGATTTTCCAAAATCCTAAAGCAATGAGTAATCAGATGTAACTTACCAGATTATCTTGCATCACGATCTTACAGATACAATTGACAGCCATACACTAACACGTCCTAATACTACAGAAGTAAAGACTTCCAAGTTCAAAGTCCTGTTTCCCAACTCCTATGAGTTAATACGAAGAAAATATAAATTGCTCAAATACTAAAAATTGAAATTTTTGATTGTGGATGGTTCAATACTTCATTAGTTATTACTTATTACATAATATTGTCCAAAACAATAAACATGACTAGTTAATTAACCAAATTAATCATGGTCCAAAACTTTAGTACTTTACACAGTCTGTGGTATAACCATATTATAATCTGTGACCATACCATCCATGACAAAATTGCCAGTAAGAATTTTAATTCGTGATTATAGTATTATCAATAGTTGTGTGGCGGGTTAATCACTACTTATTATCGTAGTAAGGTATCATCGTGGTAATGCATTATCGTAGAAATTGATAGTCGAAGTAATTTATGTTCGAAGCATATGCACGAATGCCTATTAAAATATAAATTCGGAGTAGTATCATATCGTAACTGTAGTTGATCGTGGTAATAGTGATATCCCATTAAATTAATGTTTGTAAAAAAAAATTATGACCATGTATTTTTAATATTTTTCAACTGATATTGTAGCAATAGGTATATCAGGATCCTTGTATTAAAAATTGCATTGATATTTGTAGAAAAAGAAACAAAAAAAAAATTTTTTTAAATAAAAATATAGTTTTCAAATTTTACCACTGTGCCTGTGCAATATTGAGCTTTGCTCTAAAGACGTTTTTTGAGGTTATGGAATTAGAGTACTCTACTAGTTTATTAAAATAATCTCCGACCATATAAACTAACTAATATATTATAAGCCAACTAGCTTATAACATGATAATATGGTCGAAGAAAATATTAAATAATTTTTATCTAATAATATAATCCATAAAAATAAACCGACTACCCGAGTAATATAATGTATGTAAATAAGTTCTTAACCTCAAAATACGTCTAACCGGCCGCCGCGCTTTTGCGGCAACTCGGGAAACTTTGTTGCCTCATAAAGGAAAATAATATTGTAATAGGCGGGAGGGTAGGAAGTTGTCCGACCTTATCTTCTAAGACCGTGTTTACGATTGTGGTAATTGTGATAATAACAACAACAATAACTATTTACTCTTTTGATTGACTGATTAATAGTTCGTATTTAGTATTTTCTGACTTAGGTATTTACGTCTTGCACCGCAGAGTCGTCTCTAGTTTGATATAGGTCTAGTGACGAATACTCGAATTGTTTTATCTGTTGAGTACGTCGTACTTGGAACATTGGAATTAGGTGAGTGGTAGGTTTTTTTTTTTTATCGACGACTGAATTTCGTGGTGACCGTCCAATCTTACCTCGGTCTAACGATGAACAGCAGCGACAGCGATGATCTGAATGAAGAATTTTTAACAGACGACCATCAAAATTTCTTATCCCAAGGTTAGTATGCCAAATAAAAACTGTGTACCCACACGCTACAATATTATAATCAGATACTGCTTAAGTTACCAGCTGTGGAAAGGTTTATTACTTGAGTCTCCAAGTCCTATGGGGTCGATAATATTATAAATATATGATGTGCATATGTATGATTCATATATAGGTTAGTTAATCCCATCAAATTTGCAATTCAAATGTTTAAACATTAATTGTTCACGTGTATAAAATTACACTTTAATTTTATTATTGACCGCCTACATTAAATCCCAAGCTGTACGACGACAAGTACCTACTCCTCAAAACACTATACAGAGGACTTCAAATATTTTCAGTTTTAAAACTGCTTCTATTAAAAGCTGAACTGTTCAGAATCAATGCCGATATATATATAATATATAAAATATAGGTATATAGGTATATCGACATTTCAGTATAATATAAATACTGTCTTGCGAATTATTGTAAATAAGTATACCAAACAATCCGTATAATATTAAAAATCGAACTAAACAATATAATTAATGATAAAATGTTAGTAATTATAGCATATCTATCAGTAATTCAACTTTATTACAAAATCCCACTTGTTAGATTATCAAGACTATAATTTCTTTATGTCTTAAATTTCTTTAAGTCTATAAAGTATTTGAATGAAATCATTAACATACCTGTACCTTTATAATTTTAATTTTTACCCTAAACATTTATGTATCATAATATTACACAAATTCATTTGTATTTGGGAAAAAAGCAATTTGTAATATGCTAAAAATATAATATATTCATCATGTGAATACTCAATAAACCCAAGTTACATAAATGTTAATAATATGTTTGATTGTATGTTAAATAACATCTTATGTCTGTTATTCCCAGTTAGTATATATTTCCTCTTGGCCGTTTCAGATTTTACAATTTAATAATTTAACTTTTTTTAGGACAAGATACACAAGATGGCGTGGAAATGGTAACTTTGGACAATACAGATGACTCATCAAATCAAGGAGAAGTTTATGAACTTAAATATGGCAAACCCCTTCGAGAACAAGACAGATTCCTTCCTATTGCTAATATTGCAAAAATTATGAAAAAATCTATACCAGACGGTGGAAAGGTTTGATTATAAATTAATAATATTATATTGCATACTAACAGGTAACAATATTAATTACTATAGATAGCGAAAGATGCTCGAGAATGTGTACAAGAATGTGTTTCGGAATTCATAAGTTTCATAACCAGTGAAGCTAGTGACAGATGTTTCCAAGAAAAACGTAAAACTATTAACGGAGAAGATATTCTTTATGCAATGTCTAATTTAGGTTTTGACAATTATGTAGAACCCTTGAAACTGTATTTGCAAAAATATAGAGAGGTAATATTATATTTTCTCCCAGTCTTAAAAATAATTTAATATGTAAATATATAATATTGAATTGTTTAAAGGCTACAAAAGGAGACAAATCAATTGGAATTGAAGAACTGTCGGATGATGTGTTTTGTAAGTTTTTGTCTCGTTAAATTTCCCCGACTTAATTATGTTATTTAAAATATTAATATTATTAATTTATTATTATGTTTATGTATTTATGTTTATATAGCCAACGACACAAGTTATACAAAAATATTTGGGCAAAACAGTCAAAGTGAATCTGTCATTTACTATCAAGATCCAATTCAACAATTCCACATAGTATAGTTTGATTTTTTTTTTTATTATTACTTTGTCATTAGACTGTAACCATACATATTGCAAATAAGGTATTGCACTAATTGTAGATTTTATATCATGATATATTCTGTAAAGTATATTTTATATACTATATATTGTACTATAAAAATATTGATCTACACTTAGAATTTTTTTTTTTTGTATTTCTGACTGGAAAATCTAATACTATAAATGTATAATTATATTATATATTATATTATTTACTTAAGCAAATTCATTGTAAGATTTCATAAGATTCTCTAAATATATAATATAATATGTGCATTGTACATAGATTTTGAAGTACAACTGTTTATTTTAGTGACCATCAATAGACATTTTCATAATACGAACATAAATTATTATTATGTTTGTATTTCTTGTTGTTCAGTTGTTCCCAATTTCCATTTTATTTGTTTCTACTTAAATATTTTTATCTGTAAATACAACTGTTCATTTATTAATATAATATATTTTCTTAAGGCCGTAAAAAATGCTACCTAGACTTTAAAGTTCATCATATTCAAATTTATTTATTTTTATTAACATTTATTATTCATTTATCTAGAAATCATTTGTGTGAAATAATGTTTAACTTCATCGAGATTAAAATTGAATAAAAGTAATAATAATTCATAGCTAATTACTACAATCATTCAACTTCATCAAAATTTATAAAACTATATTAAACTAATTTTTTTATTAAAATATTCTAAAAATGGTAATTAAAATACCGTTAATATTATATGGAAAAATTTTTTGAATTAAAGTTGCTCTATTAATCATATAATTTTAAAATGTGTGTACGGCCAAAAAATTACTTTTTTTATGTTGGAAGCATTATACATTTGAAAGTAAAGATTTTATCAAATATTTGAGTTAACATATGATGAAATATATTGAGGCAGTTTGCCGCAGAACAGATTATCCCGAAATCCATTATTTTAAGAACAAACCTATTTACTATTGTACATATTCTCAAGATTTCTCTATTTTTAATAACTATTGACATGAATTAATATTAACTAGATTAGTATACCATTTATTATAATGTTTTTGTTTTTTCTTATTTCAGTTTTTAGTGGTTAGGCTACAATGGCAATGGAATTAATAACAATACACTGTTATTACTTATTTCATAGAGTTGGTCCAACTAGATAATAAACCATAGTAATCCGTTATTATCTAGTTAAGGCTATACGCGCCTATACATTGGTGACTGGTTCTTCTTCTTATTATTATTATTATTTTAATGTCAATGGCAAAAAATAAATAAATTCTAAAGACAGTTCTCTTAAATTTGAACCAATTTGGCTTTTAGGTATTATATTATTATTTAAATATTAATTGAATAAATTATTAAAAAATAGAATGTTTTGTTGGTAAAGCTATTATATATATATAAAACATTAGATATTAATATCTATTAATATTCACTCATAGATAAACAATAATATAATGTTAATATAAATTGTTAAATGTTGTGTTATTGTACAATATTTTTGACTAGGTACAGACTAATTTAGTAGATTTTTGATAGTGATTTAATATTATTGATGTTAAGTATTTAAGTTCGGATATTAATTTTAATTATGTGCAACTTGAATAATATATGGCCATGTAGGCATAATTTGGAAGAGATCTACATAGGTTCATTTAAATTTAAAAGAAGTGTAGTATTTTGAACAATACTACGTATATTAGCGTTTCAAGAAATCCTAAATAGAAAATGATTAAAAGTTTCAACCAATTAATCACGAAATAATGCCATAGGCCTGCAACTAAGTACATATTTCACATTTTTAGTACCTAAACTAAATACCTATACAACAGTTGAATAAATGTCTGGTTCATAGGCGCAATTTGGGGGGGTCTAGGGGGGATTAGCTCCCTCTAGTTTTATTTAAGCCCCCTAAGTTTTTAAATATATTCATTTTTAAATAAACCTACAAAAAATGATGTGGGTCTGTATTGGTTTTATAAATTTAGACCCCCGCCCCAAATCGGTTGTCCAAATTGCGCCTATGGTCTGGTTCCAATAGAACAGAACTTAACTTGAAATAAATTATAAAGTATATTCTTTTAGCAATTTATTAAGACTTGAAATATCGACCAACTATTGGTTTTTGGTACCTAATTAAAACGTATTTTCTAAAAGTGAATTAATTTTGAAACAAACTGTACCCATGCTTTCACTCTTTGTGCTCATTATTGCAAACATTATGATTGTTTAAAGAGCGGATAGAGATTCTATGGTATCCGTGGTTATAAACATCGATGGCAATGAACTTATATTGACTACAACAATATTATATAGCAGGCATTTAAAACCTTAACCTTTATAAACTTTGCCCAGGCATATATAAATTATAAAACATTAATACATTTTGATGTCTTGGCGTGAACGATAACAAAAATTTATCTGCGTTCGTTGTGCAGCCGATTAGAATTACATTTGAAAATTCTATAGGTACTTCCTAATCGCATTAACTTTAATCGTTTTTCAAAAATAATCGTTATTCAACGATAACCGGACGACACCATATCATCATATATCATATTATAATATGCTATAAAACAGATTCGGACGATATTAACGTCTGTAACCATACGCCTATTAACGAAGTTAATAATATAAATAAATAAACTTATGAACTTAGTTTTGAGGTCTATAACGAATCGACGAGCGTGGGCGAACGACAAACGGCGGCGAAACTTGTTAGAATCGTTTCGTCGGGCCGTGGTCGAAACGACGCAACAGTACGGAATAGTAACGGTAAACTCTGTGGTTTTTGGCGGAAGATGCGATTTAAAATATTTCGCACGCCAACCGCTCGACGGGGAAATCGGAGAAGTGTGTAATCCGTGAGAAAACAGACCGTGTAAGACGGACCCGTCGAAAGTCGTACACCCGAACGGGTGTCGAACGTTAGAATTTATGATATTGTTATTGCGCTCCATTCGTTGCCGAACAAAACTATAGTAATTGAATTCTTTAAAGAATTGGTGGTGATGATAACGTCCGGCGCGGGACACCGCCGAAGATAAAATTAGTCCTCAAGACGTAAGTCTACGACAACAACAACAACTACTACGTGTCTACGTAGTAGTTAAAAATCTGTGAACACCACAGTTGTTTTATTATACATCTGTGAACACCACAGTTGTTTTATTATACATCTGTGAACACCACAGTTGTTTTATTATACATCTGTGGTGAACACCATCGGTCAAAACCACGTGATAAGAGGTTAAAGAACGATGATTTTTAGGTACATCATGACCAAATAAAGGAATTCGCTCGTGGAGCGTGCCGCAGTGGCACCAGCGTTGTCGGCGGCGGGTCGGATCGCGTCGCACATCAAACTCGTTACCCCGCGCGGGCACGTGACCGCTCAGCTGGTTAACCATCGGTGGCGGCCGCGGTACACGACAGTCGTCCGAAAAACCGAATACGTCACCGGCGGCCGCAGTCGTTATCGGGGAAATACCGAAACAACGGAGCCACTCGGTCCCCGCCACAAGTGAACGAGTTCGGGCAAGATGACGACGGGGAACGTCGACCACGTCCGAAGCACGGCATCGGGCGAGCGCGCCGCGTGCGTGCGCCCGTGCGTTTCGGGCCGTCGGCAGCCATCTTGTATACCGTGCTCTGTTCCCGAACACACGGCGCGACCCCGCACAGCCTTCACGGCCATCCTTTTCTGATAACCCGCGCGCACGCACGCGCCAGCGCTCTCTCCGAGCGCATTTACCGTGGTGGTGTAATAAGCGGACACACTGACGCACACACTGTCACACTCACACACACACACACACACGCGTAGAACAATTCGTGTGCGCGTCGCTGCTGGTGGAACCGAATCTCACCAGCTCTACACACTACACACGACGACGACGGCGGCGGCGGTAAATATACGCACGAAACGGATACCGCGACATTGATATTACTACGGTCGTCGGTTGTCTCGCGCGTACGCGTTTTTCACGGCACACGGCGGTTCGGGCGTAACGCGGTTCACGTACACACGAGACACACACGGTTCGCGGTCGTCGACGCACACACTCCTAAACACGACGACAACAGCATCGACAGCGACAGCGCCGTAAACCACAGAATCGTCGTAAAATGGCGTTGAAACGCATCAATAAGGTGAGCCGTCGCAGCGCGTTCGAATTGTACCGTAGTTTCTACATTGTCCCATGTACGCATTTTGTCCGTTTTCCGTCCTCCCCCCGCCCCCCCTCCCGAGATCAGCGTGACGTGCGGTCGCGGCGGCGTGTGCACGCCGATGGCCGCGGTGTCTTTTTCCGTCGTGTCCGAGAGGTTTGCGCCCTCGAGGCGAACGCGGCGTCGCCCCCGTTTCCCGGCTGCGAGTGCTTCCCCTGAACCGCGGGTCAAGAACAATAGGTCCGGGCCGGTGACCGACGGACGATCGGTGGCTCTGCGTTTGGTCCCACGATACCACTTGAACGCTGTGGCTCTACTTTACCAAAGAACCTGACATCTGAGGCGCATGCCAGTGCTTCGCTCGGTCTACGACTAAACGCTGTTTACTTTACTTACTATTATTGTCTTTTTTTTTATCTCAAGGTCTGATATCGTCAAACAACAGTGTTGAAGCAACACATTCCTAACATCTCTCATTGTTCAGTTATATATACCTACTCCACGTTGGAATTGCGTAGAATGCCAGTTGTATTGTTTAATAATATTTAACAAAGCAAAAACTAGAACGCAATCCATTATGTGACAGCCAATAATTACTAATATACTTATATGCCATTGTTTGACTTAAATAATAACCAATTAATTAAATGAATGGTCGTGGTTCTTTATCCTCTTGAGCTTAATCCCAACAGTTTGGGTTTGATTATTTGTTATTTATTAATACATAAAAATAACCTATTTTTCGATTCCATAAAATATATATGACTATAAGAGGAAGAACATTTGTATGTTCTATATTGATTCGTTGAATAAAATGTTTGCCTCTGAATTGATAAGGTACCTAATTTTAGATACATGAGTATGCTATAAACTATACCATATTATTTTAATTTATACATGATGTGCACTTTTACAATTTAATTAGACACATAAAAACTTATGTAATATTATTTCATTATTTATTTTACAATTAGGTACTATTGATTAACAATATCTTAATGTCATGAAAATAAGTAATTGCCACTAACAGTTATTGTTTGTTATATTAAAACAGACTTTAAATATCATTCAGTTTTAAATAGGTACTAAATAAAATAATTGTTTTATTAGGTACCTACAATAATTTTTTTGTTGCAAGTAAACAATGCCTTATTTATAATGTTTATTAACTGAACTGAGTATTGCCTAAATATTTTTTAATTTTCTAAATGCTTTATCTCTTTATGACTACATATTAATAAAAAATATTTTAAATGTCAAATACAATTTAAAAAAGAAAAACATTTTAATTATATTTGCTTATAACAATACATAAATTCTTTCAACTTTTCAATCTATTTTCATATGTCATCAATATTATATTTATTTATTCCTTACTTTTATAAGTATATAAAAGTTAATTTTAATAATTATTTTCAGGAACTTCAAGACTTAGGCAGAGACCCACCAGCACAATGCTCCGCTGGACCTGTAGGAGATGATTGTAAGTAGAATTAAAACAATTTGGTAATTTTATTAAATTTAATAATACGCTACTTTCATGCCCAACAAAATTGCTCAAAATATGTAACTAAAAGACACTACCCCCCCCCCCCCCCCCGATCATCAAAAAAAAAAAATTGTTTAGTTAAAGTTAAAATATATTGTTTTCTGTGTATGAAAATTGAAATTGTATTCTATTATAATATATATATTGATAAAAATTTAAATAATATGCCTTGGCATAGTTTATAATTCATTATAATTATAACATTATTTATACACTTGATTTAAAAATGTATTTAATGTGATATTAATTTATTTATTTGTACATATTCATGAAAATTATTTTATAATAGGTGGGTAGTTTTATTTGTGTATAATTTAAAGAACAATAATTGTCATCTTCATATACACCTTCAAGGTCCAATGCTGCCATCACAAAATTCTTTCATCCTCCTCTATCTTGCCAAAACTGCTTAAGGGGATTCGATTCAGCGTATTTATTTCATGATTTAGACCTAAAAGCCTGACAAAAATACGCCTACTTAGAATTATCAGATTTCAATTCTGTAAAAAGATTCGAGTTCATTGACATTTTTCCTAGGTTATTGTGGGAATCAATTTTCGATATTTTTTTAGAATTCACGTTAAATCATACTTCGATTTCTCAATTTTTTGAAAATTGTTTGTGTCTTTCTTTAAAAAGTTAAACAGTTATTCAAAAATCGACTCCCACAATAACCTAGAAAAAAGAACGATGAATTCAAATATGTTTACAGAACTAAAATCCGATCATTCTAAGTTATCGTATTTTTGTCAGGCTTTTAGGTCTCAATTGATTGAAATTAGTTTCTCGTTGGAACAAATATTTTATTATGTGACATGTGCATGCGGGTGCGAACCACTGATTCCTAACGTATCTACGCACACTAATGATCATTTACTTCGCACACAAACACACTGCGAAACGATTATAATACATCGAATTGCCTATACACGACCCCTTATTAAATCACCGGATCGAATCCCCTTAAGCTCCATTCTGCAGCTTTGCCAGATCTTTTATGATGGAATCCTTTCCTGGTACTAGGTGTACCTAGTGTTTTTTTTTCCTTTCATTTCTGCCATTAGTACCTGTTTTGTGATTTGTCCATCTGCACTCCATTTAGGAGGACGCGGGGAGGATGCTACACTCCCATGTGGCATGGGTTGTCTCCGTCTGTAGAAACGTACAACATGGCTAAAAACTGTTTTGCTCGGAACAACTTACTCCCTCTGTATTTTTAGTATAATTACCAAAATTACACAATGCATAGGGAAGAAATTTTTTGGTGTCATAACGTTTTTATTTTTTTATAGCACTAATCAATAATTCTAAGAGAATGTCAGCGCGCTATTTATTTTCTCTCTCTAGCCCACCCGCAACATCGACAAACCATATTTACGAAGAATCATTTTTTCTATATTTATAACTAATCTAGAGTAAAATCACCAATTACAAGAAAGATAATGAATAATATTTTTGAGATAATGACATATCAATTTGTCTAAATATTGTCTCACAAAAATTATTTAAATTTACAAAAATGTTTTGTTTATTTTGAAAGTCGAATACAGAGTGAAATAACAATAAAATATAAAATTGATATGTCATTATATCATTTTTGTAATGGCTGATTTAACTCAAAACTTTCATAAAAACGTAAAAAAAAATGATTCCGCGTTAATGCGTTTTGTCTATGTTAACAGTTTGATAATACACTATACTCTGTCCAGCGAGGGAACACATTACGAGCCGACCAAAATCTATTTTTCTGCTCATCCCCACGCTACAAACTGCCATAGTGGAATTGGTTTGATAGCATTGTGATGTGGAGGGATGCGCCTAATCAGCGAGTTCACTCGCTGGACAGATTATATATATAAATTGAAAATAGTCAGATTTGGATAGATGAAGAGTGACAACAGGTTGGAAACATATTATTTTCTGGAGTGTGAAGGCAGATTTAACTAAAAAATATAACTAGAGCGCAGATTGCTTTCCAAGTACATAATTTGTTTCATATAACGAGTGCTTCAAAGCTAAAAATTTTACTTTGCATATTTTGAAGTTTTTTTATTTTAAGAGCATTTTTAGCATTATTGGGTCATTTATGTTGATTTTAATGCATATTTGTTCACTATGTTACCTGTATTCCGATTAATAACAAATAATTAGTGAGTTTGTATTTCAAATTTTGTATGTTTCTATTTCATGTTCGTAATTTTAATAGGGATAAATATTGTATTAAATACCCCCCCAAAAAAAAAATAATCATTAAATTAATATTATGGTAATTTTAAGGTCATATTTGCAGTAAAATGCAAATTTTAAGGGCATTCATGAATTTTTTCACATTTTTAAAGAATATTTAATTAATTAAATTTTTTACCTCATTAAAATCCATGCCCTAATAATAACATAATATAATATAACCATAATACATAAAAAAAAACTTAACTTTCTTTATATGTATCTGGTTGAAAAATGTATTGAAATAATGTATCTTTTTGATTTTAGTATTTCATTGGCAAGCAACAATTATGGGACCAGTAAGTTATTAAAAATTTTATTTTATTATTATTAAATATGATATACCTACATTTGTAGTTTTTGGTAGAATATTTGAAGTATTTATTATTTTCATTTGTTTTAGCCGGATAGTCCATACCAAGGTGGCGTGTTTTTCTTAACTATCCATTTTCCTACGGATTATCCATTCAAACCTCCAAAGGTTAGTTTATTATCTAGGTAATTCATAAATATCAACTATTAATAATTTTTCCATTCAATATTTAGGTTGCATTCACTACTAGAATTTATCATCCGAACATTAACAGTAATGGTAGCATTTGTCTTGATATTTTACGGTCTCAATGGTCACCAGCCTTGACCATATCAAAAGGTAAAAACTATTACATCAATAATTATTACCACCATCGTTATTAACTAAAATTATTTGATTCCAGTTTTGTTGTCAATTTGCTCGTTGTTATGTGATCCGAATCCAGATGATCCGCTTGTTCCTGAGATTGCTAGGATATATAAAACAGACAGAGAAAAGTACAACGAATTAGCCAGGGAATGGACCCGCAAATACGCAATGTGATGGTTGTTTCAAAATATGTTGCCTGTCCGCCCGTCATCCGATAAACATTCTTTTTTTTCGCCCTGTACAACTTCAAAAAGATCAATAATACACTCTCAATCTCCAACTCATCTGGTAAAATAAAAAATTTGGCCACCTTATGAAAAATACTCTATAGTATGATTTGGAAAATATTTTATTTTAATGCCTATACATATTCTTTTTTTTTTACTTTTCACTTTGTCAAAAAGTTCAATATTGAATGTGTAAGTGTCTCATAATATAGAGAACAAATTTAAAATAACATGGTGTTTATTTAGTAGTTAACTTTAATAATAATGCATATTATTTTTTTTTGGGATAAAAGTGTAATATATACATGTGCTGGTGGCGATTTATAACTGCCTTTTTACCCTACCCATAAATAATTATAATATATCTAGTTTTTCATTATTATTTATTTTATTATATTTTTAACTCAATTTTTATAGTTAATAATCTACTTACTTCAAATTTTGATATTTTGTTTATATGCAAGTTAAAATACCTTGGTTAATTCAAGTAACCAGTATTTTATTAATTACCATCATAAAATTGCATACCAAACTGAGTTAAAATGATCATTTTTTTTATTTTATAAGATAGGTTTCATTTCACTTGCAATTCGGTTCTTAGTGCTCATTGATTATAATTTGTATAATGTTAAATAGCCTAAACTGTTCTTATTTTACCACAGATATTCTAAACTGTTACCATTGCTGTGATAATTATAGATGGTACATCTAGTTACAAACAATGGGTCTGTTATTCAAATTTTAAACTTAAATCAGTGTAATATAAAATTGATTTACAACAATTTTTCGACAATACTTTAGCCAAAACAATATTGAATATTTTAATACTTTTAACATGCTAAACAACAAATAAAATTATGTTTTATTAAATAAACAATAAGTTTTAATGGTTTTAAAAATTGATTTAATTCAATTGAATTATTATTAATTATTTCAATTAACTATTATTATTATTTTTTGTACTGAATTGGAGCATCCTATTTTGTTAAGTTGTTTGTTATGAAATTTGAAAAACTCAGTATTCAATTTGCAGTGATGTTAATGCACAATGCATAATATGTTACAAGAAATTGTTTAGGTGGTATTCCTTGTTGTACTATATTTATACTCGGTCAATAAATGGAAAAGAAGTTTTCTCACGCATTTTCGGGTATTGTGTCATTTGTATGTGATAAAACTAGGTAATGTACCAACTTTTATTTTAATAAATTTTGTATGTTCAGATTTACCATTTCTATACTCTTGTTTAACGAATAGCATAAATAACATTTAATTTTAGTGTTACTGAGATTTTATAAATGATTTAATTGGGTATTTTATTAACAAATATACTTATATTTTGTGTGTATACATATAAAAATAGATATATATTTATATTATTCAATTAAGACACATGTATATAATGTTTATACATGTTTTAAATTTGAAGGGACAAAACTTATTTCTGACCAAAAGTGAATCGTTGAGTTACCACTTGACAATCACAAAGTGTAAGCAATTATACATTTTATGTAACTTAATTCTTTTAATACTGCTATTCATAAATTTTGTTTGGTCACTCATTACTATAATAATTTTTACTAATTATGTGATTATTATAATATGGAAACAACTTGGGGGCCGTTCTTACCATCTCCGGTTAAAGTTAACGGACACTTAACCGGATGAATTCTGTTGGTAATGAAATCTTTTATCAGCTGCTTAATGTTAACCAACACTTATCAGTTATCAGACATTGTAAGAATGGCCCTTCTAATTGTGTCTTGCAATGATAGTTTGTTTTGACATATAATATGTAACACTTAATATTCATCAGTGGTAGGTATCATTGATATTATTCAACTCACCATTTAATTGAATAATATTTATTTATTTTTTATATTTACATGAATTATACAACATTACTTTAAAGGCACAATATGTCATAACTCATAATAAACAGCAACACTATACAAGTAAGATACATTAATTTAGTAAAACAAAATAATAATTCAATTTTTAACGATTTAAATAAATTAGCTTTTATTTTACTGACCTAAGAGGCAATTCAATGAGGGATTGTTTGGTATGAAAAAGAACCTAGGAATATTTCAGATGGTGTTCATATTAATTACTAATTTTAGAGTAGGTACAGTATGATTCTAAATTTAGCTTTGTGGGCGCATACCTACTGTGTAATATGTGGTATTTAACGGTGGAATAAAATATACAAGTTAAAAAATAAAAATGCAGCTAAACAAATTTTATTAAAAAATTGGTACACAAAACTCGTAAAGTATATTCGCGTTTTATTTTTAAGGGAAGCCGGAACTAATGTATAAAAATCGTACCGATTAACGAAATTAATTTCTTGATATTTTGTTGAAAATCATTTATTTTTTAAGTCATAACTCTCAACAGTGGGATAACTACCCGTCATTATAAGTAGTTAATTCATAAGAGGATGTCAGCGCACTATTTGTTTTCTCTCTCTAGCCCACGCGCAGCATAGACAAAACGCATGAACGCAGAATCATTTTTTCTATGTTTTAAGTAATCTTAGAATAAAATTACCTATTACAAAAAAAAGATAGAGAATAATATTTTTGAGGGAATGTCATATCGATTTTATATTTTATTGTTATTTGACTTTGTATTCGACTTTCAAAATAAACAAAAATAGTTGTACATTAAAATGATGTTTAAATTGTTTTGAGACAATATTTAGATAAATCGATATGACATTCCCTCAAAAATATTATCCTCTATCTTTTTTGTAATGGGTGATTTTACTCTAAGATTACTTAAAAACATAGAAAAATGTTTTGTCTATGTTGCGCATGGGTCAGAGAGAGAAAACAAATAGTGCGCTGACATCCTCATAAGTCTGCGTTAGTACTAGTTGGTAGTTAGGCCCAGTCTGATTACAGTTTAATCGGCCAAATTTGGCCGGTTAAATATCTGTTATCAGCTGATTAAGCTTAATCAAAGTTTAATCGTAGACGGTAAACGACCCGTATTATAATAGTTGAATTCCGGTTAAACCACCGAATTCGGCCGGTAAAATCAGTGGTTCAAGTGTAACCGAGGTTTAAACTAAATTGTAAACGGGCCCTTAGTAACCTAACACTGTAATAACTCTCCTGAGATCATTGATCCTTGTAAATAGTAATGCCCGCGAGTCGTGACCCCATCAGGTGGTATGAGGTGAGACGTTGGCAATACTTTTATCACCAATGGCACCAACATACTATATAGATCGTGAAAATAGAACGCAGCTGATGTCTGCAGCGGTAAGTTCTATACACAACCTTTTTTTTTAGATAAAAGAGTAATTACAATCTAATATTTATATACAGTAAGTAAATTTAATAGCTAATATAAGGTACATCACATGAAGTGGTGTAAAAGGCAGTGGCTTCATTTGGGGGGGGGCAACTGGGGCATTTCCCCCAGTCTAGTATTTACATCAACCTTAAGTCGGCACATTTACCAACACCACCCCCTGCCCTATCCACTATATGACACTTCCTATGCTATAAGAATCTGAGTGAAAAAAATTTTGAGTTTGAAAAGCAGTGAAAAGTTGCCCTAGTCTAATAAAAACTAAAAATGACGCCACTGGTAAGGGGGGAGGCCTACCAGTGTGGATGCCCTCTAACTTGGGCTGTATACTGGGAGTCTGGGTAGGTACCTTTATAATATAGATAATATATTTGGCCACGTATAATATACAGTCTAAGGATGAAGCCGTGTCCCGATATTTGTATATAATAAAGTGACGGGTCTGAGACATGCTTTTTGAACATGTGTGTATATTATACTCATCGCATATTTATGCTGACAACTACGAATGGATCTTCATTAATTTATTAGATTCGTATATGAAATTGCCTATATTGGTCCCTTATCTCCAATTAAGGGGTTTCCATACCGACCACTTTTAAGGAGTTGAGTATAGGCAATGTTTAGGCAATTTGTATAGTGCGGGGAGTGCATGTTTGTGTGTAGTAAATGATCATTAGTGTGAGTGACTTCCCTGTACCCTAGATAAGCGTGGCGCACTCGCATGCACATGTCACATTATGCCTAACAACAAATTTATTTCATGGTGAAATGTTGTAAATCATAGACCTAATCACCTAAACGAATTTCAACATACCGACTTGAGTCTTACACCGATAATAATTTTGAAAACAAATTTTGTTTTGTTGTTCAATCAACTTAGGGTTAGGCTCCTTAGAGCCACATTTTTAATTTATTATTCCTAAAAAGAAAAACCCTCACTTGAAATTTAGAAAAAAAAACTTGTATTCTTAAAAGTTTTAATGGACATAATAAATAGTTTTCATTTTTTTTTTATTATTATTCTGATTCGAAGGATTCAAAATAGACTTCATAATAAATTCAAATATGTTTTCAAAATTATTATAGTAGTAAAACTCAAGTTAGTACGTTGAAACGCATATGGGTCTATTTTACTCTAAAAAGCGGTATATTAATATTATCGTTTTAAGGGGTTCAGTATAGGCAATATTATAGGTGTATTGTGCGAGTTGTACAAGTGGTCGTACCCAATGTGTGTGTAATGTGTATACTATTACTCCCCAGTCTTTAACCATCACCCCTCACCCGCATCAAAGGCAGTAACTGGACTTCAGTTTATTACACTGTTTAAGATAGAATATTATTATTAAAACAGATCCCAGATATATTTTTATCACCTAAAATACAAATTAAAATATATATCATAAGTATTGCACATTTGCACATTTTTTTTACATATTATTAATGTTTTTTTTATATATGTTATAATTAAATTTAACTTAAAGGTTCCATTGTTAACAAAATTGTAACGTGTATACTTTTGTTTTTTTCATTTATAATTACACCCTCGGCAACATGGGCCTTTGGCTTACAGGGTGAAATTATAATTACATAATTTTATGTACTAGCGGTATTTATAGTTCAACTAAACAAGGTTTCTATAAGTTCATAATATAATTAATATTAAGTTTTATAATATCATAAAAAAATGATAATATTAATATAATTAAATGTATATATTCTATTATAAAAAAAGTGGAAATCCAAATAAACAATTAGGTATGTAATAATAATAATATATATGACATATGTGTACGTGTACCTAATATAATACGTGTACCTAATTTAAAGAAACAATTGTTATCCCAATTTATAAAAAAGGTGAAAGAAATAAATGTTCTAACTATCGACCTATAAGTCTAACTCTTACTATATCCAAATTATTTGAAAAATGTCTAAAGATTAGGATTGTTGAATTTTTGGATAAGCATAATTTTTTTCATAAGAACCAATTTGGCTTTAGGAGCAATATGTCAACTAGCAATGCTTTATATTACACTACTAAATTTATTTATGATAATATTGATGATAAACAGAATGTAATTGGTATTTTTCTGGATATAAAAAAAGCATTTGATTCGGTTGACCATGAAATATTACTAAAAAAAATATTTTTATGTGGTATTCGAAGTGTTACTTATAAATTAATTAAATCCTACCTAAAAGGAAGGACACAAAGAGTGAAAATTGATAATAAATTGAGTGATTGTGCTAACATAAATTACTCAGTACCGCAGGGTACTGTACTTGGACCGTTACTGTTCATAATTTATATTAATGGCCTTCTCAATCTGTCCACACAGGCTAAACTGATCTGCTTTGCTGATGACACAGTTATTTTAGTAAATAATCGTAACATTAATGATTTATTTAAAACAGCTGAGAATTGTTTTTCAATGGTTAAAAACTGGTTTGACAATAATTCTCTAGCAATTAACATGGAAAAAACTAAATATATTCACTTTAGAATAAAAAACACTTCTTTTTCTGATGATCAAATAATTAAGGTCCATTCGCATAGCTGCCGTAAAAACATCGACCCAACAATCTTATGCAACTGTGTTTCACTAAATCGGGTAACTTCATTAAAATATCTGGGTGTTTATTTTGATGAAAACCTTAAATGGAACATTCATATTAACCATATTAATAACACGATTAAAAATTTTTTTTATATATTCAAATCGCTCAAACACATATTAAATTATAAACTTAAAAAGATAACTTACATTGCACTTGTGCAGTCAATCATCTCATATGGTATTTCTTTTTGGGGAGGTACTTACCATACACATCTTTCTAACCTTGAGGTAACACTTAATTCACTGCTCAAATTCATTTTCAATATACCTTGCATGCATCAAACTTCGAGTTTATATAAAGAGTTAAATATATTAAACCTTAAGTCTTTATATTCTAAAAATATTTGTTTATTAATGTATAGTTTTAAGGAGGACATAGCTGTTCCAAGCCATGATTATTCTACCCGACTAAAATTGAAATCAAATGTCATCATACCAAAAATTAGAACTGTTTTTGGACAGCAATATCCTCAATTCAAGTTTGTAAAATTTTGTTGTGATCATAATTTAAACGTCAATAATTTTAAAAGTTACTTAAGTTATAAAAATTATGTTAATACTCTGTTTTTGTAATTTTTCTTGTTTTAGTTTTATTTAGTCTATCTAATATCTGTTTTTTCTTTTTTCTTTTTCTCTTACGTTAAAATCTATATCTAACATTAATTACGTTTGTGAACTCTCTCCTCTAGCACAGCCATTGGCTTTTGAGGAGATCCATCAATTTTTAAATTTCAGCTTAGGCTAATACTATTTGTAATCTTATTTGATGGTAATAAACTTATTATTATTATTATTATTATAAATATACATTTTTACCGTAGTTTGGACAGTAATATTATATACCCCTGCCACAAAACATGCACTAAACTCATTTATTTATAAAGCAGTATAGAAAACACATATTAAGTAGAATGTAGCTAGAGGCCTAGTGGGTTATCTCAAAATAAACCTGCGATATGTTATAAATGTACAATTCACAATATATGGGCAGTGGGCACTTAACTACTTAAGCACTTGGTTAAAATTTGTTGCTACATCTCGTAATCCGTACATTAATCTCTTATAGCATGCCGAATGTCGATCTTTTTCGTTCAGTATTTTTCTAATATTTTCCTCAACAACATATAGATAATACAATTTTATGTCCCGGCACCACATGATAATCACAGTTTTCTGGACAGTAAAGGCATCATTGTTGAACGAGTTTATGGAACCTAGAAATACCAGTATTATAGGTGCCTACTGAATCAGTAGTAGTGATATAATAATTAATAGGTATAACGGCCAACTGGGTTATACCAGATATTATGTACCTACCTAGTACCTACCTCAATATAACTTCTTATGTGGAAACAAGTATACATACTTTAAAAAAATATATAAACTCCTATTGTTTTCCAATATTAATAATGCCTAGGTAGTCATTAAAAAGAGTCCTCTTTGTATTTGTTTTTTTTTTAAATAAAAAATAAATATCATGCCAAAAATATAATATGTCTATTATAGAATTAAATATGCTGAAGGCGCAACTCGAGAATCAATAATTTTGTGAAATTACAAAATGCATTTTTGTGTTCACAATTGTGATTAATAAATTAATGTGAACAGAAATAAAGGATAATAATTGCTCAATAATTTCAACGCTGTTGTTGTTGTGTTATAGAATTATGCTGTTTGTTTATTTCTACCATGCAAAATATATTATACAAATTGAGAGGTTGGAGATCACACGCCAGAGGACTTTCGGTTCAATATTTTACTACATTTCTATGTAAATAATAAAAAAGTGCTTTCCCATACAGCGTTGTGGGAATTGTGTCGTCTGGCTGTCAATGTGTTAAAACTTGAGTTTAACATCCTGCTTAACCAGCCTTACATTTTTTTTGTGTGGAATCGCGAGGTTGGTTTTTATTTTTTCGAATGTATAAATGAAAATTAATGAATAATCATATAAATATATTGTTTACCTATTTTACAAAATAAGTACCATGAAAGTAATAAAATAAACTAATAATAACGTCAATGTGTTGATTTGTGTTTAACATACTGGTCTGTAAATATGTTTAGAGCATATTTTGTGGCAACTGGCAAGTGTATATGACTGTACTCATATAATAAACTTGATACCTACATGTCCTGCTCCTCCTGCATAATAAATGAAACATTTATAATTTTTAATTACAACAATTGATATTTTTCGAGATTTTAATAAATTTTATCTTGTATTGACAATTATTAAACAAACATTTTATGGAATTTCAAGTACTTACGGTTATTAGTTTTTTAAATAACAAAATAAAAAAATCCTTGTAAGAGAATTTGTTAATTTACCAGTGAATTTCTAATGTCTAGCTTCAAAAGCTTGTAAAAAAGTAATTTTATATTTTGGTAAACCTTTTTATTATTGTAATGTAGGAACAATTAAGCGGAATCTTATATTTAATTTTCAAAGCTAGATAAACTATAAACATAGAACATTTCTTATAAAATTTTAACTTGAAATAATTAGCCAATTTTCCTGATTTTGACGAATTTTGTCAACATTTTAACTTCAGGCGCTCATGAAAAATTATTATGGATTTGTGCTCAACTTTTGATTATATCATCAATATTTAAAAAAAAAAAAAAACAAATAAAACTCGTAATTTATAATCAAAAATAGTCACAATATTACGAAAATGTTATGGTGCATAGAAATTACTAATAAATAGTAATAATATATAAAGATTCAGTGAAAATTTCAATGATGTTTGTTTTTTTTTAGAGTTACACTAAAAAACAAAATCAATTTTATTAAAAACTGATTTTGCTTAAAAATTTTAGTTTTTCCTTAACTTTTTGCTTGTTTTTAATTACGCTTTTGAAAATTATTGGCATTTTTTAATTTTGACCCCACAAAGTACCAACTAGATTTACTTTCTACTAGAAAATATACTGTTGAAGAAAATTGAAGCATTTTTACTGTTGCAAAAAGTAGTGAAGGACATAAAAAATAAAAATAACTGATCAATGTAATAAAAAGAAAATGAGTGTCGCTCTGCAGCCTCTGCTGTACAGTAGGTCACTGTAATGGATGGTGTTATTGTGTTAAATTTGAATTCAATGATATAATATCATTGAATAAGAAAAACGATTCAAAATCTTGAACTTCAAAACATTGATCGTCAATATCTTGAACCAATATTTGCAAGAATATCAATATCTTGATTAAATAATTCCGACAAATTATCGAATATACGTTGAATATACCAAAATTTTAAACAGCATAATCATTAATCTTATGAGGATTCTATGGTCAACGGAGTTGAAGATTTTTTAAATAAGTAGTATTGTATTTGTATATACTCAACTACAATAGACAATAATCACAGTATTATTGTATATTGTATATTGTTCTATGCTATAGTAAAACCATAAAACAATAATTATACTTATTAGTTATTACTTATATGTAGTAAAGGAAATTGATGGATATTTAAAAATTTAAGAATATTCTAGTATTCATGGTTGCAATAATAATATACAAAATTGATTTTATTATAATTTATAACAGGTCAATGGTTATAACTTGTAATAGTTTATAACCATAATAATATTATAACTACCTATTATAGTTCAAAATGTTCAAATATTTTTTGGAACAAGTGTCTCTTAGAAAAATGGATTTTTGGAACAAAATGTGATGCATCTAAATACTCCGTAGTCCGTCCTTATCAATGTCTAACGTTGGCGACTTGGCCTTTGGTGATAATTTTTTTTTTCTCATTCTTTTCCTACGCGGAACTTGTAACGTGTAAACGTGTTGAGGTTCGATTTTCAAAAAAAATCATAAACTCCGCAATAATTAATACTTCGAACAGACGTAACACGTTAGGAAACACTTAAAAACACACGATGGCTGTCATAGATTTTCAAACTGCGCCAGGCGTGGAGTTCCTCGAAAACTATTTGAGCAAGAAAAGTTACATTGTCGGGTAAGCGGCTAACCTAAAAACCATACGTACTTACCCGGTGTATCTACAACTGTTAAACTTACTTATATTATTCTTGACGTTTCAGATACGAACCGTCCACGGCCGACGTTGACACTTATGCAGCGGTTAAAGCGCCCCAGGCCAACACTCCTAATTTGCTCAGGTGGTACAACCACATCAAGTCGTTCACCGACAAAGAGCGCACCCAGTTCCCAAAAAAGAAATCTGACTTTTCATCGGCTCCGGCTAGTGCACCAAAGCCTACAGATGACGATGATGATGTAGATCTGTTCGGTTCTGACGATGAAGACGTACGTCTATTGCATTTTTTTTATAAGATATAATTAATATACCTGATATTTTACCTATTGCTTTACTAACGCAATGGTCTATAATTTTATTGCGTACATCTGATACTTCTGCTCAAATTTTAAAACATTAGTTTTGCAATGCACACATTATCTCTGTTATAGTATTTCTCTCGTTTAATTACATTTTACTACCATTCCATTAGTTTTTCTTCTATTTCAGCTTTCGAAATTGCTTTCATTAGGGATTTGTTTATGATAATTATATAACTTTTATTTGGTACCTTATTTTTATTGATTATTCGTTGTATTTTTCAGGATGAAGAAAAAGAACGTATCAAACAAGAAAGAGTAAAGGCTTACGCTGAGAAGAAAGCCACCAAAAAAGTAATTATCGCCAAGAGTAGCATTGTACTCGATGTGAAACCGTGGGATGATGAAACCGATATGAAACAATTAGAAACACAGGTCCGAACCATTGCCATGGATGGTTTAGTGTGGGGTGCTTGTAAGTATATACCTAAACATAATTTCTAGACTTGATATTTATTTGTTATTGTTATATTACAGCTAAATTAGTTGAGATTGCTTTTGGTATCAAGAAACTCCAAATTATGTGCATTGTAGAAGACGATAAAGTATCTGTCGATGCTCTTACCGAGACCATTCAAGAGTTTGAAGATTTTGTTCAATCTGTGGACATTGCTGCATTCAACAAAATTTAAGATCTTTTTAATTCTTAGATATTTGTCAATTTACTTCATAAACATGAAAATATAAAGCCAATTAATTTTTAACTTATGGGTGTTATATTTTTATTTTATTTGTCATTCAATAATCTCATTCATTTGTATTTGCAATAAAATAATTATAATTGTGCTATTGTTATTAACGGTGTAATAACAAATTTGTTATTAAATAAATATCCATCAGATAGCAATCAAAATACTTAGTTCCAAACATTAACACCAAGAGCTTATATACCACTTATAACACCTAACCAAGAGCTTATATAGACCTCTAGACTAGAGTTTTATACTAATAGTTTGTGGTTCTAATCAAAAAATTTAAAAGTTTTTTTTTTGTATAATTGCAATTGAAATGGAAAAATAATAGCACTATCATTATGAAATAAGTCAATAATGTAAGACATTCTTCTCATACAATTAATGTATGCGTTCAAATAATATAGTATTGCAAGGTGAATCTATGATTGGATTAAATTAATAATATTTATATTAATCTACTGTCGCCGGATTTTCTAAAGAACATAATACGATACAGTATCTGTTGTTTTTTATTATTAGGTAATGTATATTTAATAATATACTATAACTCATTAAAATCGAAAAGTTCTTGTATAATCTGTGTTATTAATTATTATGTTGTTGAAAATTCCTTAAAATTGTATTAATATAAGGATTTAGGTAGGTAATTTTTATGTTCATGTAACCATTAAATGTTTAATGACTTTCCCCAAGGATATTTATTTATATATTTATAAGTTATAACTATTTTGCTAAATATTTCTATTATAAAATGTAAATACCTAATCATTTATTATCTAATAATATAATGTATAATCAGCACTTATAGTCCCTATTTTATATTGTAAAATATAACTTTTGAGGTATCATACATATTTTATAGGTATTAGGTTTATAATAAATTAAGATTTTATTATTTTGAATTAAAAACAATGCACAACAATAATATAAATTAATAAACTTATAAGCAGGGGTTAAAGTGGGAACTGATGTCTCCATATAGTTTTAAGCATTCCATATATAATTTTATGTATATTGTCTAATGTATAAAATCCTAATTTCTTAAAGGTGAGTGGTGACGCTTTTTAACCGCCATCAGAGGTAGCGGCAGGACCGGCGCTATACATTTGTTTTTTAGGGGAAAGGGGTGTATTTATTATAATTTTCTGACTGAAAATTAAGTGATTTGACGGCTATATTTTTCAACATACTCAATGACTCACGTAATTTACATACCTACTTCAAGTAAAATTTTTAATAAATACATCTAACTTGTTCATCTCATGAAACAGGATATTTGTATCGTTATTCATTGAGATACTATCCAATGAATTAATAATATCCGCAATTAGGTTGCAGAATAAGTTACTAAATAAGTTAAGGGGCAACATTTAGGCTAATCTTGTCATATAGCCATCGGGGATCTATATGTTAGTTGTAAATTATTATTAGTGTGAGTAAAATTATATGAGGGTATCCTCTCTCATACGCGCCTGCACATGACAATAACTCGATAACCAAATCAATTTCACTACAAGAATCTTACAAAAACATACATTTGTTTTGACTAAATTAAAGTTAGTTAACGTTGTCTGATTTTGATTCTCAAAAAATATTTGAATTCAGCAGAAAAATTGATATTTTCAAGTTTCCAATTATTACAGTTCACAATAATATAAAATTTAGATTTTACAAAGTGCTTAGTAGGATCTAGGTGTAACACCCCCTACCCACCAGTAAAACAAGCCCTGGGTGGCTGGGTAGGGGGACTGAGTCCTCCTGCGTCCCCCTACTTTAACTCCTGCTTATAACTTTATAAGTTATAACCAGAGCTGTGAATAGTATGCACTAATAAACCTTGAAAAATGCAATAAAATATACACTTAAAATGCCAACAATTATGGTATAAAATTCACTTAAAATGGTTTTTAATTAAATTTTTATATTTATGATATTATAGGATATTATACGATGTTATACATTAGTACATAACATTTTAAATGCATAAAACTGTGTTTATTTAATAAAAAAAAAAATAATAAAAATATTAATTAAATTTGAATTTTGTATAATGCTATTCACCTGAAACATTTTTTAAAATTTTTTTTGTTTATTTATTCTGTTAAAATTATAAAACAAACTTAAATATATTAATTTGTGGGACCTTATTCATCTTTAGTCTTTACTATTGCATTGGCAAAAAAAAAACAAAAATGTTTTTCAAACACGTCAATTGACGGAATTAGATTATAAAAATAGGTACCGGAAAAGTAACTAAAAGAGGAAAATATGACCTAAAAATTCAAAAAACTGCAAAATAAAAGTTTCATGATTGGATTCATAGCTACATGATTTAAATTATGTACTTACAAAGCTAAGTTTCACAATCAACAAAAAAAAAAAATTCACTTTCCTACAAACGTAGTAAATCATATTCAATAATTCACTATAGTTGATTGTCGATACCAGTTATATTTACATGGAAAACTTTACACATTTACACTTTTGAGTTTTCAGTAGATCGCAGAATATCAATAGATCAGCAAAAATATTGTAAGCATGTATAAAGTAAATGGAATATACATTTTTTTCAAAATATTAAAATGCAACTAATTCAAGTAATGCACTAATGCAAAATTCAATTATTGATTGTAAATTACGTAATGTCTTTTAATAAATTTGTCTTTTACAGTCCCTAAAATTGTGTGTAGTACGACACACTTTGTGCAGTACGAAAAGTGCAGTGTGTAGTACGAAATTTAAAAGTGTGTTATTCTAATTAAACCTTTATAATAATATTATGTATAATTTTATATCTTCACCTTTTTTTTTATATTTTAATGGTTTTTTGCCAAACCATATTTTAATTATTATCTACCTACTACACAGACACGCAGTAAACAATATTTTGTGTTGTTACGTCTTATACTCTTATTATTTAATTATAATTATTTATTGTTATTAAGAGTAGCTATTATTATTATCATCTTAGTAGTGAACGGTGGTATACAGTATACTAGTGTTTATCTAGAAATAATTTAGATCTCACCGATTTGGGACTATGTGTGTAGTACGAAAATTTGGATATTTTAAGGGCTGGTCCTTTAGTAAATGTTTTAAATTATTTAGTAGAGGCCATTAGGATGGATTTACTAATTTGACACTTTAGAAGTCGTATACTGACCAGTGACCATTGAACTCAAATGTATTAATGTAAGCCTGATAAAGGTAGACAAATTTATGAGTAATCTTGTATTACATTATCAAATCTTAGATTTAAAAAGAAAAATTTTTACGAATTCTTAACTCTTAATAATTTGCTATTTTTCGTGATTTTTCCATATTTTGTCAAATTTTGAACTTTAAATGCTTATAAAAAAAAACTGTGACTAAGGATTTTTAATGTTTTTCATCTGACTTTGAAACAATATACCAGGAGCCTCCTATTAAATTTTCAAGCTTTTTAAACCAACAAATAAAATTTTATTGATATTTTTAGAAAAAATACTAAAAAAAATGGAAAATTAAAATGTTCGTAAAGAGCTCAAAATAAGTCAAAATATTTGGAAAATTTTATGATGTATAGAAAATGTTAATATAAACCTTCAGTAAAAATTTCATGTACCTACGGTCATTTGCTTAAGAGTTGCATGAAAAACCAAAATCGAATTTCTCGAAAACAGATTTTCCGTAAAAATTCCCGTTTTTCCTTAATTTTTATGTTTTTTTTCCCGGTGCTTATGAAAACTATTGGGAAATTTAAATTTTGGCCTCCCCAATGCACCAACGATATTCACTTTCGAATCGAAAAAGATACTGAAGTTGAAAATCAAAGCATTATTTCGACTACTTATCGTGCACACGGACACAAAAATAAAAAAAAAAAATATAAAAACACACATCATTGTAAAATCAATACATTCATCGTTCCACTCAGAATCTAAAAATTGTTATGAATAATAATTAGGTAGATATAACTAAGTATATAAGTACTAATAATTAAAAGTTTTGATTACTTCTGCCGATTAGTTTTTTCGGTATTCGTTTAGTATGTGACCTACAGAGTTAAAATCGAGTTTAGTATGTGACCTACCAAGACGATTATATCTATATTATGTACGGGTACTGATCTATTAACAGGTAAGATGAATTTTTGAAATTTAAGTAAAATACAAAAAGTGTATTTCTAAAAATATAATTTAAATAAAATAAAACTCTTTTATAACAACATAGTTTTATGAAATCTATTGAATAGTTTTGACATACCTATTGCTGTTATAGGTACCTATGTGTCTTCATTCATTTTGTTTAACTCATTTTGACATTGTTAAATGTAATCCTGTATTATTTTATATTTGTATATTGTATTACTAATATATTAGTTAAATAATTATTAACATAATTTTATGATTTTTAATTTAACTGTTTTTAAATTAATTAATGGTCCTGTGGATCATATACTAAATGAATACCCAATACGGTAGGTCACGCGGTCTGGTAGGTCACATACTAAACGAATACCGTTTTTTCTAACTATCATTGAAATAAACTTTTGTGTAGAAAGTCATTGATTTTTAGAAATAAAACAATTTTATTATGAATACAAATTAATGCTTTGATCTTTTTCATAAATGTTATAATAATATTGTTTATTTTAATATTTCTGATGGGTATATTTTGATATTAAATATTATTTCAAATCATTAAGTCTTAAGAAGTTAGTAATTAATTAATAACTATATCCTAAAAAAACTATTTATGAGTAAAATAAAGTATAAAAAGTTTTGATATTAAATAAAACGTGAATGTTGCGTATTTATTATTCCAATAAAATCAAATTTTTACATTTGTATTTCATGAATACCGCTCTTTTGAGGTCTAGCGTTACGTCACACGGACAACAGCCAATCAGAAAATATAATGATAACTGGCTAACCTCTCCTATGGTTGAGATCACGGTTTAAGATAGTCTATCTTAAACCGTGGTTGAGATCATAGACGTCGTATCACTGCACATTGCACTCCGCCCTGCCATCAATACTAGGCGATCATAAAACCATAAACCTGAGAGAGAAAGAACATCAACTAGTGAAGGAGCCCGCTTAAGGAACTTACTGTATACATTTTACTTCTTCGTTTCTTTTCTCACTCACACCATATCGTACCCTTGACTTCTCTCTTTCGAAGCGCCGTCCATTAGTTTATAGGTTGAGTCGTTGAGACGTGCGTCTTGCAAATTTCTCTGATAAGATGTAGTAGTACAGAACTGCGAGGTCTGAGTCCTGAGAGTCGAGAGAACTGAGAAGTAAACTGCAAACGTTTTGAGCAGTGAGTAACAACCTTAGTACCTTACTGTATACGTATGTCCAACTACACCGGTTACACCCTACTTTTATTACAAACAGTTACTGTGACACGATAATCCTTTCAGGTGAAACACGCAATCCAGTTGGAAGAAACAAATTGTATCGCGACCATGGAGCCGGCAAGGAAACGAGGTGCACTAGCTGGGAGCAGCGAACCGGCCCCCATAGGGCCCGACGATCTTGTTAATGAAATGGTTGAGTATTCATTTGTTAACGATCCCGTTGAAAATTTTAAATTTGTAGGACCTAACCCATATGTTCTAATATTTCATTATAATGTGCCAGAGGCTCTGGCCCGGTACGGCAGGGGATAATATGATCGATTTTTAGATGATTCGGATAAAACAATTTTCGAAGCAAGGATTTAATTGTGAGCAACAAATAATAATGTTCCAACACCTTGTAAAAAGTTTATTCATCAATTAATGTTAATTATGCAAACATTCGGTACCGAGTATACAATTATTGGCCTATTTACGGGTTTCTGGTTTTCCGGTCCGAATTTATATAATTGCTGGGTATAATTTACTGAACCGAGTTAGTTCACAAAAATTGTATTAATACATATCTATAATATTATACTCAATCTCTCTCATAACGCAGTTTCAATATTATTATCCATTGCTAGACATCATTTTTGAGAACAATTGATTATGTGACATAAACATAAACATATTTCTGATCTTGTAGGTAGTTAAAGTATTAAACTAATTTTAGTTCTGTGTTAATGGAAAGGTGAATATTGACATACTGTCAAAAATATTACCACCTTACACATGTATCCCGTTTTGAATGTTACGGCGTTAACTGATTGTGTTTATTTTTATTTTAGTCAATTGATGTTGAATTTGAGGGCCGCGGTCCAGAAATCAGAGATTATCATTGTATTAAACAGTTATTACAACAACTATTCTTAAAAGCCCCAGTAAACCTGTCTGATATGACTTCAGTACTGATTCATCAACCCAACATTGGCTCAGTTATAAAGGTATATAGTTTAATAATTCAAGAGAACGTCACCCCAGCATTCATTGTCTCACAAAAGTACAACATAGCAAATTTGTGTTCTGTTGTTCGAATTTTGTGTAATAACCTTTAATGACACAATGAATTTACCTGTTATACAACTTAAATGTGGAAACATTATCTGTAAATGTGCTATGTTGTATGTTTGTAAGTTGGATACAACACATGCGAGTGTGGCTTTCTCTTTAGTAAAAGACACATAAGTCAGGTGTGGTTAGGTAACCTATTATGTATTTTCATACTTTAGTAAAAATGTAATTACTTTATAATTAGCAAGTTGCTGATGAGGATGATGAAGAGCAAGATGAAGATGATGATGACGATGATGCCGACCAAGTGTTTGGGATAACTTCAGTTATCAATATTACAGATAAGGTAATGTTATTAATTTTCTAATTTACTATTTTATTTAAAACTGAAATATTAATGTATATTACAGACAAGTGAATGTGTAGAAAATTTACACAAATTAATGTTGGACTTAAGTAACCAACATAGTGATAGTGACACAACACTATTTGTCAACCGATTGTTGAGTGATAATGATAATAAAGTTGGGTTGTTAATAAACGAAAGATACGTCAACATACCTCCAGCTATTTCTGTGCCATTATTTCAAGCCCTTCGGTATTATTATATTTATTACTTAATAATTAACAAATACAAATAACATATTAACATTATTTTATTTTCTCTTTACTTACTTTTGTCGTTAATCCCCAAAAACACTCATTATTTCAGTAGATATTTGGTAAAAATTAATGTTTTACTTAATTTAAAATGTCCAATATATATTATTAAATAATAAGTGTTGTTATATTTCAAAAACTGTATTGTATTTATACAACATATAATTAATTTAATTTCAGCAAGGAAATGTTCAAGCTAAAAAGTAAGAAACAATCATACAATTTTGATTATCTTATTATGATATGCAAACTGTATAAAGTGAAGAACGATAAGAAGGGAAACAAAAGTTTTGAAAACTCAGAAATATTATGGTCAAATGGTGAAGAGGAGTTGTTTGACAAAGTAAGCAAATAGGAAAACATTATTCATTTAATGGCCTATCTTTGTGGTATACTGGTATGTCCTCTACCTCAAATTGCATATTGCGATCTACTAGCAGTTATGGGAAAATTGTTGTATGCGTTCTACTACTCGATTACAATGATAGTATTTGATGCACATAAGGATGAAAAATATGTGCATGACTGACATTAAAATTGTAAAAAATTATGTATTGATATGCTTTCAAAGTCTAATATTGATAGTGTAATATAATTTTATATATTCATAAATATTATTCACAACTATTATAGATATATTATTGAAACGTGGTGGAAAGAAATCAATAAACACATTAAACACCTTTTTAAGGGACATGGCACAAATATTTAAATATTTTTTTTCTAATTATTAATTACTTTTAAAAAGAACTAAATTTAAAAGCTTACATTTGTAAGTAATAACTGATAGATAATGAGACGACTACGATGACAGTGGCATAGTGCTATTGATAATATAATAATTTTTTATAACACTAAACTTCAACTATTATTTAATTTGTCATTAAAACCACTTTAACATCTACTACTTTGAATATAATGTTATTTAAATATTTCTGTAGAGTGGTAATAACGGTAGAGCGCATACTGTAGTGGCATTGTGACAAATAGAAATAGAATATGTTCTTTTAAATTTATTTTCTATATTTGTTTCAGTTAGCAGATTACAAGTTTGAGTTTTGTGTGAAAAATGACAAGGGTCCTGCTTTGTCTGGCACCTGGGTAGAATCAGATCCTGAAATGATTCCTTTTAGACGTGTTCTGATTTTCACTGTGGACAAATTCTGTTCAATAACTGACCAACTTGAATCTTGGTTAGTGAACAATGATACCGCAGATCAGGATGAAGGTTAATCCACTTTTTATAATACCTACATACATTTTCTTTTTATTTTATTAATTTAAGTTAAATTAAATAAATTGGATTGTATTTTTACCAATGTAATCTAATGATATGTATTAAAATTTACAATTTTAACCATTATTTTTCTTACATACTATTAATTGATATTAAAAAAAAATATATATGATTATTAGAGTGTGGATGACAATGTGTTTGCTATTTTAGTCCTGTCTCTAAAAATACCTATAATAGTTTTTAATTACTAAATAATTGTACAAGTGAACTGTTATACGTCATGTTTCATGGAAGTACCCACAAATGACAAATATTTTGCTAAGTTTTATCAGTTTTTATTTAAATGAGTTAATATGGGTTACAAAAAAAAAATTGGACTTACAGCTGTTCTTGGAAACCTTCTTGGAATACTAGTAGCTTTTCTCAGCAAAAAAAATAAGATAATAAATTATATGATTACTATAGAATAAACATTTTCTTTTCTAATTTTTAGGTAAGCTTATCTGTTTTTTTTCAGTAGATGACCATTACCTTATTTTGTTGGGATATAATTGTCCTCTCTTATAATATCTTTGTCCTAACGACTAAACAAATAATACAATTTATAATGTTACCTATGTATAATAAAAATTAATTCTATTATAATAGAATAATTACCTCAGACAGTCAGAAATGTCTTGTGATGAGCGTCCAACAACGGGTTTCTAATAAAGTATATTCCAGACCTAAAAATTGTTTCCATAATTTATAATTATTATATATATTACAATTTACAATGACATTAAAAAAAAAAAAACTAGACATTTAATAATTTAACACAAATGCAAATAATTCAATATTGAGATCCCTTATCAAGGGCCTAGAATTTTAAATGCAAAAAAAAACCAACTTTTTTTTAAAGAATACTTATTATAATCTTTTTCAAATAAGAATGAACCGCTCGGCTGTCAAGAACTCGTTTTGTTCGCGCATTCCTGACAGCGGTGGGAGCGTTTGCACGGCGGCCAGCACCGGCGCCGATGATGACTGCCGACCAATCACAGAACGCATAGCCATCGCCTGGAGGGTCTGTTCGGCAGCTCAGTCTGTATGGGCGAAGCTGTTCAATCTTATTTGAAAAAGAGTATAGTTATTGGATATCCAGCGCAGTCAAACACCACAAATAAACTAAATGTTTATGTCGATCAAAGACATAAAGCTAAATAAAAAGTTCATAATAGTGATCATAAAAATGTTCACTACTTATATTGTAGACTGTAGTATTAGACATTAGTAGTATTTATAATCAATGATTGAAGGTTTCCAGTTAGCTAAATCATTGAGACGGTGACTGTAACAATCATTTGAAATCGTTTGGATCACTACAATTACATATGACCAAACATAAACCTTCAAAATAAATATTTTGAAAATTACAGCACATTGTCAAGATTTTTATTTTTTAGAAAATAAAAATTTGGGGAGCATGAATAAAATCTACTAGGTACTGTTAGTCATTTTTATATTATAATTTATAACAAATTAATAAAATCAATTTTTTAAAGACCGGTGTTTTGCATAAATATTCCGGAATTCAGTATTTTTTTTACTTTTTTTTCCTGATAATTTTTGAAAAGTAATGGGAATTCCCTCCGTAGAACTAACTAAATTTAATTATCTACTAGAAACCATTCTGTATATCGAAGAATTTTTTCTGCTCACATAAGAAAACATACATCATTGAAAACACAAGAACATTCACTTCTCAGATTCTAAAATCAAATACATAATCCAACCATTCTAACCTTTCAATACCTACCGATAGTTGCAGTTCTAGCTCTAAAAGTGTAAGTATTCAACAGTCTACAGTATGTTTATAATATTTCACTCCCATATTTTCTCAGTAAAATATTTATGCCACATATACTTCATAATATTAGCAATAGGTTTAAAAAGGAACTCGTCGTTTTAGTTGCGGAAATGGAATGCGTTCCTGTTCTTTTAAATTTACTTTACAATCTGAGTGGTTGTCAATAGTGTTTCAAACTTTTAAACCAGAAATAATCGCTTAATTTTTGTATTCATTACCATTTCTGATAGTAGTTAATTGAACCCAGATTCTATAATAAATTCTAGAACATATTATTATTAAAAATAACATTTGTTAAAATATAACTATAGACTTTTAAAAAATGTTATGTACTTACCTCTCATATTTTTAAATTTGCAGCTATTTGATGAAACAAAAGTATATTATTTATCTTCTAAAACGAATAACTGTAGATACTTAAAAATTTGACTGAATGTTTATATTTTAATTTTCTATACACCATAAAATTTCGAAAATATTTTGACTGATTTTGAGCTGTTAAGAGACATTTCAGTTTTCAATTTTTTTTTTCATTGTTGTTAATAACATTTTATTTGTTGGGTAATAATGCTTGAAAATTTAATACAAGGCTCCGGATTTATTTCTTAAATAGCAGTGAAAAAATATTAAAAATACATGGGCGCAATTTTTTTTATAAGCATTTATAGTTAAAATGTTGACAACATCAAATTCTAAATTTTAAAATGATTTTATAGTTAAAAATTAATAAAATGTTCAACTTTTATAGCTAAGGATTGGAAAATTGAAAACAGGGTTCCACTTAAATAAGTTATCATATATAAGTTAATTTATTCACAATAATATTATTATCATCAAATATACTTAGTAATATCATAAGGTGACTGACCGTCTTCGCTCAGATCGTTTTTCTCATACAATATTATATCATTGAATTCAAATTTAATACAATCCATAAACATTGGACATTTCAAACACTTAAGTAACTAAATAGATTATAAACATTTCGAAATGTTTTTAAATTTCATTTTGAACGCTATTGCACATTAAATTATTATAAAAACATTTAGTGAAATTTTTAAGTACCTATCTATCATTTATGGATTTTCATTTATGAGTTATAACCTACCAATAAAACAATATAGATTTCGTTGAAAACTGGTCTTGCGTAACAATTTTTTGTTTACTCAGATGATATTGAAGTAGGTATGTTAATGGGCGTAACTGGAGGGGGAGGGTTGCAAAAGGGTCTTAAATACTCTTTTTTTTTACGTCTTACTATCATTATTATATTCAAATACCATACATTTTATGTTTTTAAAATATGAAATATTATATCACCCCACGTTTTAGAGTTCTAGTTGTACTCATGGGTATGTTTGTAATTTAGTAAATAATAATTAATAGTATTGCTATAGGTCAGGGTAATAAAAAGATAAAATATCCGTTTTATCTAGATTCATTATATATCACGGGTAATTTTTTTTCTTTTTCAAAGGATATGAATACATAATATTATACATTAACTGTATTTTCTTATAAAAATTAAGTTGCAAATTACAGTTTTTTTATGAGTAAATTTAAATAAAATTTTTTTTTAGTATATAACCTTTAATGTTAAATAAATAGGTTATTGGATTTGCAGTCGACAATCATAATACTATTTAATTATATATGAGAAAACAGCTTTTTTTTTTTACTCATCTTATTACTAAATCCAAAATAATCAAAATAAACAAAGAAGATACAATTTATTTGTTCTATTGATTTCAATCATTTTAACTGTATTTAATACTAGGTACATATTGATTTTTTGTATAATTATTATGTAATAATAAATGTTTATTGCAGGCCATAATATGTTTGGAATACCGAACAAGTATTCAAGCAATAAATGAATGACAAAGCAATTCAAATATTGTAGCCATTTGAGAATATTATTTTAGATTTATAATTACTTTTAAAAGTAAATTGTAATTACAATGAATCTACAAGAAGTTTGAATGTGATAAAAATTAGCTTATCTTAATGATGATAACTGGTAAAAATATTATTAAGACTAACTTAATAGTTTTTATTTGTGTTTTTTTTTAACACCATTAGAATTTAGAATAATATTATTCTCTAAAACCAAAATTCTCTTCAATAAATCATTAAACTCATCAGAATTAAGTGATAACCAATCACAACAGAATGAAAAATAGTTTCCAGTGAAAGTTTAAATAACAATTTCACATGGAAGTAATTACTAATAACATAACTTTTGTTTGTTTTTACAGGTCATATAAAATTAGACACCACGAGAAAAAAAAACAAATAATTATCCAAGTACTTTTATATTTTAATAATAAAGATACAATTCAGATATTATAAATTAGTAAAAAAGTTTGTTTACAAATTAATGGTACAAAATAAAAAAGAAATCCATTTAGGAAATGAGTTCTTAAGTATAATTAGACGTTACATAATTATTAATTAATTAATATAGTAATGTATAACAATACTAACTTAATCGAAGTTTTAATTTAAATGAGTTTCTAAAGCCTACAAATACTGGGCATACAGTTATAAAATTAGGTACTTAGTCTAGGCAAAAAAAATGTAAATTTGTTTTGTTGCAATCTAAAGGACACACTGCACACGGAACACAAAAATATTGAGATTAATCCTAAGTAGTGTCTTATTCGTCATAGTACGTCTTTTTATTCATCATCTTCAGTCTTCGTTTTCCTCTTTGCTGTCCTCTTCTTCAGCAGATTCCTCCTTTTCTTTTTTGTCACTCTTCTTTGGGCGACCACGTTTACCAGTCTTGCTCTACAAAAGAAAAAGAATAAATAAATATAAATAATCTGTTTAATAAATGATTATAACAGTAATATATTATTAGCATACCTTAGGCTTGTCAGTTTTTTTGCCAGCTGAAGCCCCAGACTTTGGTGGACGACCTCTTCCTCTTTTTGCTGGAACATCTTCGTCTTTTTTTACAACATCTTTGTCCTTCTTTTCAACTTCACGTGCACGTTTCTTGGGTTCTTTAACAGAGTCCTAAAGATAAAACATATAAATATAATTTTTAATATTGTTTGTATGGAATAAAATTTAAGGAACATTACATATTAAATTGTACAATAGGATAATTACCTCAGACTTGTCTTTTGCTGGGCGTCCACGCCTCTTTTCTACTACAGCTTCTGAATCAGACATCTAGAAATGAAACAATATATTTTTTAGTTTTATTAAATAGGTCACTAAATATTGAGTACAAAAAAAAAAAAATTAATTGACAATAGTAATACAGCCTTCAGCTATTTAAAAATATATGTCATTAATCTTTTTTAATTATTATTATTATGTATTATTTTGAACGACATTCTTAACCTTAGTAGTATAAATAATTAAGTTACAAAAAAAAAAAAAAATGTTTCTATTATTTATAAGAGTAATAAAAAGGACGCGAAAAAAATTCAATTTAATATTTTTGGCCTTAAACGCGATAGCGGGAATTTCGTTGAAGAAGCGAAAAAAAAAAACACACACGACCGAATATCCAGGGCAGTCATTACACGCCTCGAACAAACAACAAATGTCTGTCGATCAAAGACGCCGTTAATCTAATTAAATACGCGCGCAATAATAATAATAATATAAAATAAAAATCTGTCAATAACAATACCTCTAAGCGTTTGCGTGGAAAAAAAACGACGGCGGAAATAAAAAATAACGCGATGGAATATGGAAACAAAATGAAAAACATAAAACACAAAACGGACAAATCGAGCTCAGACGAACGGAAAACGCGCACCACTTCCCGCACAAATGCACAATGCAATACACACTCCAGGCATCGGCGGCGTCGTGGAGGGGGTTGTTTTATTTATTTTTATTTTTTTTTCGTTTAACGTTTTTTCCACGACCGACCAATGGGAGGCCGGCATAGAAATCGGTTCATTATTGTTTGGCGTGCACGCGGCCCCGATGAATTAGGCAAATCGGAATTCGATATGGAAATGAAAACGAAAGAAAAAAAAAAATGGGTAACGCCGACCGAAAAGACGCGCGCGTCACCTTACCACCGGGCAAGGGACGCCGTAATTCTTAAAACGTCGAAAATCGATACGGCAATCGATCATCACACGGCGGACACCATTACCCGGCGACCGCGGCCATTTCGGACGGAAGCCCCGGAGACCGAAAAAAAAAAAACCCGCGGAACGGCGACGGCCAAAAACCGTAAAACGAACGGAGAAAACGAAAACCGCGAGGCACCGACGGTCGTTGGGCGCGCAACGGCGTCGTTACCCGCCATTATTCGCGCGCGCGGCACGGCGATTATCGATCGGATTCCGCGCGCCGGTCCCGCCGACAGATAATAATAATAATAATAGTAAAAAAAAATTTAAAACAAACGCTGACGCGTTTAATTTTTATTTTATAATTAATACTCACGGCGTCGTCAGTTGTTTGGTGTGGAACGTGGCGAGAAATTCGGCCGGAACGGTGAAGAAATTGGTGCGGGACGACTGGAAACGGATATGTGACAGCTCGAAAACTTGGGGCCAAGCGCACGGCAAAACGGTCGGCGTCGAAATAATAAAATAAATAAATAAATATGAACGCTGGGCTCTCAACGGTTCGAAAACAACATGTCGACTGTTGACAACAAAAACGCGGCGTCCCATTGGTCGGCCGGCCGCCGTCGCCACCGCGTCCGTCGCGCCGGCAATCCGTTGCTACGTTCCAGTAGATAAACACTAGCAGCCCGTCGGACGGACGCGATAACGCGTGATTACTGATAAGGACCGAGGCCTTTCCCGAGTGACGTGTGTGACGTGTCTCCGCGCCCGTGTACCTATATTACGATTGTAACTTTTTTTCCCGTAATACATTATTCTTATAATATTTTCCGCGACTGGTCCGACGGAAAACTATGCGATCGTGATTGCCGAAAAGGACGATAGTATAACTTTTAGCCCGTCGACGAAACGCAGTTGGTCTGGCCGTCATCCGTTCCGAATCGTTGTACCATTACACCGGGGACCGTTTAGCCGAACACACTTCAATGGCGTTCAAACGGGACAAAAAGGAAGAAGAAGACGGTAACGGTTTGTTTCCATTCTGCGCTCAAAGCCTAGTATCTATCTCGCACCACAACATACGCTATCTGCGTGTTTAAGTCCCTGGCTATTATTATTTTTATTCTTTCCCCACCGTTTACTGTGTGACACATACCAACATTCATCTGTCGTTCTTCTATGTTGTTATAGTGTAAACAAACCGTTGATCTACTCTACTGCTGTTCCATGTTATGTGTATTTTTTTTCATCTTTTCTTCAGTATGATTCTTGACTGTACAATTCTTCTTCATTGCCCGTCTTTTTAAATCAATATTCTCTAGCAATCATGTTCAAACGTAAAAGTAAATGTGTTTTTAAAGGAGGCAATCCGTATCAGAATCTTGAAAAAACCAGCGTTCTCCAGGAAGCAAGGACGTTCAACGACACCCCTGTTAATCCAAGAAAATGCACACACATCCTCACCAAAATATTGTATATGATAAACCAGGTATGTACACCCTTGTGATTACGTTTTTTTTGAAAACTAATTTGAAATTAAACTTGAAATTAAAGGGTGAACAACTTGGAACAGCTGAAGCAACTGAAACATTTTTCGCCATGACCAAACTATTTCAATCGCGTGATATTATATTAAGAAGAATGGTTTATCTTGGAATTAAGGTTGAATCTTTATAAATTATCTTTATACTCTTAAATGTAGTAATTACTTTTAATATTCTTAGGAATTAAGTGGAATAGCAGAAGATGTAATCATTGTAACTTCCAGTTTGACCAAAGATATGACTGGAAAGGAAGATACATATAGAGCAGCTGCTATTAGAGCTTTGTGCAGCATTACTGATGTGTGTACAGTAAACATTATAATATATGTACTAGAAATATTTTACTGTTGTTACATTATTTTAAGGTGTCTATGTTGCAAACAATTGAACGTTATATGAAACAAGCAATTGTTGACAAAAATCCTGGCATCAGCAGTGCTGCTTTGGTGAGCTGTTTACATTTGTGTAAAAACACATCGGCTACCGACATTGTCAAACGTTCACTCAATGAAATTCAAGAGGCCTTAAATTCCGACAAGTATATTGATTTTACTTAATTTAACTTTATTTTATTTATTTACTTAATAAATTTTTACATTACAGTGTAATGGTACAATATCATGCATTAGGACTACTGTTTCACATTCGGAAAACAGATCGTTTAGCTGTCACAAAATTAGTGGCCAAACTTACAAAAATAAATATGAAATCACCATTTGCAGTTTGCATGTTGGTAAGTAATTTTTAAAGTAATTATAGTAGTTAATTTATTTTAAGGTCCATTAGGTATTAAAATTAATATTTGGTATTTTCAGATACGAATGGCATGTAAACTATTAGAAGAAGAAACTATTCCACGATCCGAATCTCCGTTGTTTGAGTTTGTAGAATCGTGTATTCGTCATAAATCTGAAACTGTTGTATATGAAGCAGCACATGCAATTGTTCATTTGAGTGGTACAGGAGCAAGGCATTTGGCACCGGCTGTGTCTGTGTTACAATTATTCTGCTCATCTGCTAAACCAACACTACGGTTTGCTGCAGTTCGAACACTTAACAAAGTAATTCTTAATAATATTTTAACTAGCATATTATTAAAAATTAATATTATATATGTAATTTAAGGTTGCGATGGAACACCCAAGCACAGTAACTGCTTGTAATTTGGATCTTGAGAACCTAATTAGTGATTCTAATCGTTCAGTAGCCACTTTAGCTATAACAACATTATTAAAAACTGGTGCTGAAGCTTCAGTGGATCGTCTGATGAAACAAATTGCAACATTTGTTAATGAAATTTCCGATGAGTTTAAAATTGTTGTTGTTCAGGTAATAATTATTTATTTTCTAATATAAGAGTTATTATATTTAACAACAAATATTAAATATTCAGGCTATAAGGGCATTATGTTCAAAATTCCCTCGAAAACACACTGTTTTGATGAACTTTTTGTCTGGTATGCTAAGAGAAGAAGGTGGACTCGAATACAAAGCATCAATAGCTGATACAATTATAGCAATTATAGAAGAAAATCCTGAAGCAAAAGAGATTGGTTGGTTGTATTTAGATTATATGTTTTACAATATTTACAACATAATTAGACAATAATGGATCAACATTAACTAAATACATACCTACGTCTATAGATAAAATTAATTATTACCTCGATAATGTTATTTATACCCTGTTCAAGTTAAGAAACCTAGTCAGTGGCGACCAGTTTACGCTGGTGGTAGTCTGGCAACACCCGTTTGTTACCCCCACTGAGTCAACTATCTATGATCTGTATTGGGAGAGGGGTGTTTAGGGTTGCCAATACAAACACTTTTTTAATGCTGTATTAATAAGGTTGCAAACAATCTTAGTGACATAAAAGAGAATTGCAGCCTTGCTGATATAGACGATAGATTTTAACTTAAAAATGTTGTAATACATTTTTTTATACCATTTTATACCTGGTCTTAATTATCTTATTATTCATATTTGATTAGGGTTAGCACACCTCTGTGAGTTTATTGAAGATTGTGAACATACTAGTTTGACAGTTCGTATATTACATCTACTGGGTAAAGAAGGACCTCGCACAAAACAACCGTCAAGGTATTTCTAGGAAAATGTCATAAAAAATAATATAATATATTCAATAAAATTATCATTTTTAGATTCATAAGGTTCATTTACAATAGAGTAATATTAGAAGGAGCTGTCGTAAGAGCTGCAGCAGTAGGAGCTATGGCTAAATACGCTGCTAATTGTGCAATGCTCCATGATAGTATAAAAGTACTTTTGAAGAGATGTTGTCTAGACGTTGACGATGAAGTCAGGGATAGAGCAACATTTTATAGTCAATTATTGAGTTCCAATAATCGTCAGTTAATCACCGATTACTTGTCAGAACCCATGCATGTAATTTTTACAAACAAAACTACAATACATTTTTTAATTGCCTAATTAAACTTTCAAAAAATAATTTTTTATAGGTATCATTGCCAGTTTTGGAGAAGACTTGTCAAGATTATGTTTTGAATCCCACAAAAGAACGTATTAATCTTAGTGAATTACCAGTTGATATAGTAGTTAAAAATATTTCTCAAGAACCAACCAGAAAGCAGAATGTTGATAATGCCGTCAAACCAGGTAAATTCCATTATGATATCAAAGTAATAATGTATTTTAAATTCATATCTTATAATTTAAATGGATTAACTTGATTAAGTTGTCAACCATGAAATATAAGTTATAATTTAATACTTGTAATTGTTATACATTATATATAAAACTAAATGGCATAACTATACTTATTTATTGAGTTATTAGTTATTCCTTATTTGATTTCACTACAAATACTCAGATTTTTCTTTAACTACGATAACTCGCACTGTTAGAAATAATCTAACATTCATTTTATTTTTAGAATAACAATAATCGATTAAATGATAAATAGTTCTCCTTTCATCAATGCTTTATCTATATCACTATAGAACTAATAATATCATAATGGAAGATAAGATAACGTTATTTGACAATTATTTTCAGTTTGAAGTTGACGGTATGTTAGAAAAAATCTAACACGCGAGCAATTGCGTAAAAGACAACGCGCGGGTTACCCTGGGTTAATAATATTTAAAATTTGGCCAAAACCAAGAACTTTAAACCAGCTTACACTGATTGATCAATATTGGATGCTATAATGACGGCAGTATAACAATATTTAAAACCAAAAAAACACTTGGTTTTTGCTTTGTAGAAAAAGTTATTTTTAAACTTGTATTTAAGATTATGATTTTGATCACCGTAATATTGTAAGGAAAAGAAACAAAGTCAAGATTCTACCCTGCTAGACCAATTTCCTAAAACCTGTTTAAGCCCTTCTTATTTTTATTGCAATCTTAAATTTAAATTTATTATCTAGTATTTAGTATTATTATTATTATTATTAGTTATTACCTATAAATAATAACATAAATTTGTTATTAATTAATTATCTGACTTTCTGAGTTATACATTTTTGGTTTCAATAAATGTAATTGAAGTTGTATGTTTTTGCTTACTCAAACATAGTTGAAGTAACTGTTGAAAATGTGGACGGCCAAAAATTGCCTAGTCTGATTGGTTTAGACGCTGGTAAACTTTTCTGTTCTTCCGAACCTTCCATGTTGACTGAACCAGAAACTGAGTATGTTGTGCGGTGTATCAAACATATATTTAATCATCATTTGGTTCTACAAGTACGTATAGCAATATTTTATTGTTGTTACTTGCTGAGAAATAACCATTTTATAATTTTAGTTTGAAATCACCAACACGTTAGATGACCAAATTTTAGAAGATATTTCTGTTGCACTGGATGTAAGTGAAGGTTTCCAGTATTTAAATGAATTTAAGTGTCCCTCAATAAAATATCAAGAAACTGGCAATGTTTATGTTTATTTAAAATTTCCAGATGACTCAGTAGATGCTATTGGTAAATTTTTTATTAAATTTTTTGTATCATGTACATCAATTTTTTTTTTTTTTTAGCAAGTTTTACTGCCAAAATGAAATTCATTGTTAAGGACTGTGATCCCTTGACCGGTGAAGTTCAGGATGATGGTTATCAAGAAGACTATAGGGTATGTATACATTTATTGTAATATTTTATAGTATGCTCTATTTGGTTATTAGATTGGTATTATATGTTTTTTTTTTGTTTTTTTCTATTGTAGCTAGAAGATGTTGAAATGACACTAAAAGATCAAATGTTAAAAGTAAAAGTTGGAAATTGGGACTCCTTATGGGAGGAAGCTAAGAGTGTTTGTTTTGAAGTGCAAGAAACTTTTGCATTGCCATTAACTTCTGGAGGTTTATCAGATACTGTTAGTCAAATTATATCATTCCTTGGAATGGCTGCTTCCAACAATTCTGAGAATGTACATCCACCTAATAAATCATCACATATAGTGAATTTAGCTGGTAAGATATTTAATTACACCAATGCACTCATGTATTTATATCTTTGATTCTTTTACCAGGTATGATGCGAGGAAACTGTAAAGTTCTTGCACAGGCAAAATTAGCGTTGTCTGAAAATAGTGTTACCATTCAACTTACTGTGCGTTCAATGGACGAAAGAGTGGCTGAACTGGTTGTGTCTACTCTCGATTGATTGTTTTATATTATTTTATTCTTTATATATTTAAAAAAAAAAAAGAGTATTTGGGTACTGAAACCCATTTTATACATTTTTATCAGTTATGTATTATTTTACACTTATAATATTCATAGTATATGCATACCAATAAATGTATTTAAATATTATTGTAATTTATAATAAGTTATCAAATAATATAATAGGTTATTAGACGTATTAAAACAGAAATGGTTTATTTTTTTATTAATTAGGAACATCATCTTTTAAAAAAAGTTAAACATAATATTCTTTTAACAAAACAAATAGTTAGTATTTAAAAGCCTTAATTTATTATAATTCATTATAAATGAGTGTACTATTAGAATTGTCTTGCAAATAGTCACAACATGGTGTATTGTATGTAAATCAATTTATTATAATACCTAATATGGAGTGTGCTAACTAGTAACTACTAACTACCATAGTTAAACGTTTACTCTAGTTTTTCAAACACTTGACAGCTTAGTTACAATGAGCAGTAAGAAAGTGGTAATATTATATTAATTGATCGTTAATATGTCAAATGTCAATTGACCTAAATATTCGAGAGTATAAAAATAAGGACGAAAGAATAAAATAATATTGAGTTTACATGTAAGTACCTAAGTATTATAATATCAGCCAACCAAAATAATTACTCTGGTAAGGTAAGATATACTTATATAATATTATGTATGTGCACCTATATTATATCAACACTCGAATATTGTAACCTATATATATATATATATATAATTACATGACAGGTCGACACGTCGTTAACTGAACGGATATATAATTTTGTTTGTGGTTAGAATACATTATCTGGTCGACGTTCTCGCCGATTGATTGATTGATTGTCTCTTTAATACGGCACAACTGCTCATCGTATTTGTAACTCCTATACAAACCATCGCATGTCGACTTGTCGTTGCTCTCAGAAACACGTAAAACCAACTGTAGCATCGAGTGATCACATAACGCACCTCGCCGTCATCCATCTATCGTCTTAGAGTTGTCATACACCTGGCACATTAGTTCGAAACCGAAACGAACGGGAATTAATATTCTTACTTATACTTTTAAACACGAGTCCGTACTCTGTAAGTATATCAATAGTTCGGATTTTCGGAAACTGCACATTAGAACTGAACGGAATCAAATTAATATCGAATAAGACAGATTTAACGGATTTCGGATTGTTCGTACGTGAATTTTCAAAGAATTTGGTTTTAATCAAGTTGAACTTTCTGCTGCGAATCACTGCTTTTTACCCTAAAATAATTCCTATCATATAAAAATATAAAGTAACACATTTACGTTTAACTTTAAAGTTAAAATTCTTGAAACGTTATAAACACAACAACTACCATTACAATGGTCTAAAGTAACAACCGCAACTACAAACCAACACTTAATCCTAACCTGTGGAATATATATAGGTACTCGAACTCGGTGGAACTCGCAGGTGTGCGCAACTTAAACGTGTGCCCCCCACACTTATATGGCGACGACGACCACGGTACGGGGCGGCGCGCTGATGTGGCCGACGGCGTGTTTCTGGGGCGCGTGTGGCGTGTTTACCTTGGACATGGCGTACAACCGGTTCGACCGATGGTTCTCGGCGTCGGTGTTGGCGTCGGGCTTGCTGAACATCGCCATCACGCCGTGGAGCGTATGCGTGCTGGACGGCTGGTGCGACGACCACCTGTCCACCACGTACCGGCGCTTGTACACCCGGTTGGTGGCGTTCACGTGCCTGCTGTCCCGGGCGACCGTCGTGTACAAGGTGCGCGGACACCTGGCCGGTTTCGGGGGCCGGGAGGAGGAGTACGAACGGAGTTGGCCCACATCCCGGGCGCACCGGCGCCGGTACCGGGCGTACGCGTCATCCGTGGTCGCGGCGTACCTGGCCCTCGTCTTGCCCATCAACCTCACGCGACTGTACCTGTTGTACCGGTACGAGGAGTACGGCGACTCGATGCTGCTGCTGTTCTTCTTCAACATGTACCTCCAGAACTGGAGCATGTGCTGCTTGGAGACGCACTTTGCGCTCCTGTGCTTCGGCGTCTACTTAAAGTTCCGGGCCATCAACGACGAGCTGTCGGCTGTCCGGTCAGACGTCATGGTCAGCAACAGGTATCCGGTGGCGCTCCGGTCGTCGTCGCCGGCGTTAGTGGCCGCGGCCACGTCCGTATTGCAAGACCCGCGTGGCCGGCCGATGGAGACGGCCGTCGAGGAGCTCAGGCTCAGGCACGGGCTGACGCGCGAGTCGGTCGAACAGCTCAACAACATGTTCGGTGGCCAACTGGCCCTGTCGCTCATCACCCTGTGCATCATGATACTGTTCGACATCTACAACGAGGCATTTCACGTGGGCGGCTCGAGTTCTAGATCGAAATTCATCTTCGGCTGGATTCTCCAATACCTTTTCCGGTTCTTCGTGATCGTCATCACGGCACACAGCACTACCCAAGAGGTGAGAGTGACCAATGTCAGAAAAGTGAAACCACCCAATGATAATAATTATAATTATTATAATAATAGTGGTATGCCGCCATGCAGGTATCATAGGTATATTGACGCGAGGTCAAGTCGGACTTTGACGTTTTGTGGATTTAATATAATTAATTACCCATATAATATTATACTGATCTAAAAAAAAAATATTTCTATTTTTTGTTTATAGGCATAATTTGGGTTAAATTTATTTGAGTGCTAGATTTATTTCGACTAAAGTGATATAAAGACACCCCTTCCATTCATACACCTTAGAATTAATCTTAATATTATAAACAATTACGATTACCTTTAACATAATAAATTATTATCCATATTATTGTTCTGATGTTATTACTATTATGAAAATTATAAGGTCTTAGAAATAATTGTATACAAATACCTATGGTATAAAATTATACAATATTTATATTAATAAAAATTCGATGATGCTATCAACAATTTGGAGGTGCTAATATGAATTTTCTGGGTGCTAAGCACCCCCAAGCACCCCCCAAATTGCGCCTATGTTTATAGGTAACCAATTAAGTCAAACGTTTTTCCTTTATTAGAAAGAGACTATCTAGTTATATCAGATCGGATCGTATTAAATTCTTACAATGTCAAAGTCCGACTTAACGCCATTTTACTGCGCACTCCAATAATAACCAATACCGGCAATACCTATAGAACATTGTACTTAAGTACATTAGTACATATTATATCTCTACCACAGTACTACCTAAATACTATATTACAATATATAAGTGGGCGAAGGCGTTGATTTGGCCGTGTGGATTGAAAATGTAAATTTTCGGTATCTTTTTCAAATGTGTTCTTTGTCTTTGTCTCTACTCTCTATACATAGTACATACCTATACCTAGTATTATAGTCATATAGGTACATATATATATATATTATATGGCATATTATGTGGATATTATTGCAGTATTAGCCAAATTCTTAATTACAACTATTATTATAGTATAGTAGGTAGGTACCTATTGTAACGAAATTTGATTTTTTTTTTAAGTTCCTGGGTACACATACACAATTATATTGAATTTATTAGAGTGCCAACAACTTAATAAGATTGAGGAGTACCTATATCATAGTTTATATAGTATATTCTATACTATAGGGGTCGGAAATTAGTTTTTATGATAATATCAGATAATTTGAAAAAAAATTAAACAGAATATATTAGTATATAGGAATACATTGAATATATTCCTTCTCGGCTTTTGTTATTTTTTTCAACTATATTTACTATTTTACTATCAGAACTTTAATTTTGGTAAAATAGAATGTTAATAAGATTCAAGTTTAACAAAAAATAATGTAGGTAGGGGCTTGTATATTTTTCAGGGCTATAAAACTAAAGTGCTTGTAACAGAAATAAACAATCGGCACTTAAATAACAATACGAAATATGAGGTTTGTTTATTATTTTTATACAATTTTGTATAATATTATGTACCTACTATAATATTATTATAGTTAGTGAATATTCTATTTTTTAATGAATTTTACAGTTACAATTGTTTCTCAAACAAATGAATCACCAATCCATTGATATAACTGCGTGTGACTGTTTTACATTAAACTGTCATCTCGTCGCTTCTGTAAGTTATGACGATATCAAGTACCTACCTACTATGTGTTATTAGAAAAATGTGTTATTTATTCTCTAATTATTACATTTCTATACTTTAAACGCATAAGTGCATTACAATTTAAAGAATTTTTTATTGTGTACATAGGTACCTATAATATACAGCGCCACCGCCCAGCTAAGTAAAAAAAAATATATAGGCAGCACGACTGCAGTGTATATTATTTCAAAGCAGGAGTTGCCCATTTAAACAGTGTGGATTTTGGTGTTTATTTTTAACGGACGTAACTAATTGTCTACTAAATCGATTAAGACCTAATAAATTGAAATAAAAATAGATCCATACGATCCTTTTGGCAAAAATCATCGAAATCGTACTGTTAGGAATTAAGTTTATTGTCTGCTTTTGAGTTTCTGGGGCATGTTTGATTCTTTTTAAAGTTTAAAATGACCTCTTAGCTTCACAAGATGTCACGGGTAACGTTAAAAGAATTATCAGTGGTTTATAAACGTTCGGATATAGACTTTTATTACAATTACTGGTTACTTCAATAACAGTACGACAGTCAACACAAATATACAACGATAATTCGATAAGATTAGCAATCAGATACTAGTGGTTTTCTTTATCGCATTCTTCAGTTTCCGTTTTATCCCAATATTTAATAAATAATAATGGAACAGTACAGATAGTTATAACACAGGTCACAGGTAAGAGATATCTTTACTTTACTACTCTCTGGTGTATAGCATACATATAATATGTGGGTAGTGGGTTATAACTTATAATAAAATGTTTATTTTAAACATAATAAATTTCCGAATTTCACATTTATTTTATAAGTTATAACACATACACATTATTATTTCTGCAGTTACTGTTCAAGGGGGGTGTTCAGACACCCAAAACACCCTCCTTGGTTGCGCCTCTTCCTCGCGTACAATAATATATTGGTATTATCTAATTATGAATATGCCAACTAAAGTGTACAAACAAAGAATAAAAAAATAAGGAAAAGAACTTATTGAATAAAAAAAGAAACTTAGTGATAAAACAAATTCTCCAAAAAAAAAGTGTTGCTGTCGACAGCTTTCTAAAAAAATTGGTGATATCACAATAACTTCGTGTAATAAACGGCTAAGTAAAAAAAAACAGATCTTTAAGCACCATAAAGATGTGATATCATAAATAAATACTAAGTAATCCGGAGACCATACGGCAAATTATAAGGGTTGCCCTGTCGCCAAAAAACTTTTCAAGTTTCAAGATATGAAACGACCCATTTCCAATACAATTAACAACGACGATTCAAAAATAAAAGTGTATCACTCAACCTCCGCCCAAAAACAAATCATATGCTGAATCAACGAAAAACGAAGAAAATATATCTTTCCCCCATATTTCCAATATCCTATCTAATTTCATTTCTAATTCCATCATGAGCCCTCTAATCTCTCTTCTCACAACAACTCTTAATTCTTTCCTTGCTAAATCACCGTATTTATGGTATATATATTATTATATTTATAATTCATGGAATAACGTAGTTAACTACCAAACAGCTATCTGTATCTATTTTAATTTTGTAATAATATTCTATAATAATGTTTTCACCATTTCATATTTAATTCACTATCTAATATCTTAATTTAATTGCCTTTTGTTATCATGTATTGTACAGTCCATCGGGACTATTGTATCTTATCTTAATTTGTTACATTCGCATCCTATAATATTAAATAATTGTTGAACTGCAATAGTTATCAGCTGAAAGTTCTAAATTAAAAAAAAAAAAAAAATGCTAAGTAAATTTAATTAAATGACTGCATTAATTTTGTTTCAATAATGTATTTACTTGGCGATAAATTATATAGGTAGATACGTTATATTCTGATATAGCACACGAAATAACGGGAACAAAATAAACAAAAGGCATTAGAAGTTGATTATAATTTAAAATATTATAATTGACATTTCTACGCAAAATAATTTCTCGCCAAGTAAATACATTATTGAAAAAAAATAATTGTACTTTAATTCAATTTACTAACCATTTATATTTACGAAATCACATCTTTATAGTGCTTACATAGTCGGAAATATATTAAAATGTCAGGGGGCCAGGGGGGGCTAACATTATAACCATCAATGTGACCAGGGAGGGGGGCTCCAATCCTACAAACTAAAAAAGGAGGGAGCTTGACTGACTTTTTGGGGCTAATCCCCTTTAAGCCCCCCCGATTTCCACCAACGATTTGCTTAAAGATATGTTTTTTTTACTTACCTGTTTTTTACACGGAGTTCGACAAAGTGTTTTTGTTGCGATTATAATATATATTGCTGATTATTCAACAATATTTGTGTAATTTATTGTGTTATTTGTTTCAGGCCATTGCTGTCGGCACCACGTATCTCTTTGTTTTAATACAATTTCGTTCAGAAATTACTCAATTTACGGATAACAAAAAATCATGAATATTTTTAGAACACAACAAAAATTATTAATATAAAATTAGTATAGACACGCTCCACGCTCTTAAGTATATTTTATTGTGGACTCTATGAAGTTTAAAATTATATCGCGTATACCTATGAACTTACCATATAATAATAAGTAATAACAATATATGTGCACCAATGCTAATAATGAGTTTAAAAACGTAACATATTTGTTATTATACCGACCAATTATCTACTAATAGAAACAACATTATTAATTATTTACTTGCATTTTTAAAAAAATAACCAAAATATATAACGCTATAAAAAAAATATATTAACATATACTGACGTGAAAAATCAGCACTGTAGTACAGTCAGTGTATATACCTACCTACTTATTATATGTGGTGAGTGCACAATGCACATTAAAGTCATAACCCAATATGTTGTATAAATTAAAGGAGAATTGTTATAACATCTTTTAACCGAACAATATTTATAAATTGAACTGATAATCGTTTATCAACACTATTAGTTATAATATGTGATGTAAAAATCATCCCACCGATATGTATCAATAAAATAATATATTATATTAATCTGATGAACTTCGTATATAATAGTATCACGTGGTATAATAGCTGACTCCACTATATTACCTCGAATGTGCGGTATGACTTTATTGACTTTTCTCACCTTCATCTTCGTAATAGTGCTTTTAATCACCTGCGTCTACAATTTCGTCATGTCTCCGATGGTCCTGTGCCTGTTGGACGGCGATTGCGCTGGGGTGTCGTTCACCTCAGTGCAAGGTATGTACTCCAGAATGATAGCCGTGGCCTGTTTCCTGTCCTTTTCCACGTTGCTGTGCAAGTACTGTACAACGATGCCGGTCTACGAGAAAAACATCGAAGCGTACGAGGTGTACTCGCCAACGACCGACACCGAACACCGTAATCGCTCGCTGTTCCATTTGTTTCTCACCGTCTTGTATCTGTCCGTCATACTGCCCATCAACGTACTGAGGCTGTTTATACTGTACAGAAGCGATTCGGGTACAGTGATTTTGATATTTTTCGTGTTCATGTACCTGGAGAACATAGGCATGTCCATGACAGAAACGCATTTCGTAATCAAGTGCCGCACGCTGGACAACAAGTTTTTCAAAATCAACCGGGACCTGGAACATCTCGGTCGGGAAATCGCGCACACGTCGATGAGCATCGTAGAAAAGACTGTGGCCGTCGGACACCGAGTCTTCTACCACGGAGACTTTTACGGGCCCAACGTCCACTCGATCGCAAATGCAATAGAAATAATACGTATCAGACACCGGTTGATTCGAGACGCTGTCTACGTGTTGATCAATTTGTTCGCCATACCCATGGGCTTGTCGTTACTTAATCTGTGTGTAATGACGCTATTCGACATTTATTACCAAGTTTTCAGCGTTATGGGTGCCGAATCGAGATCGTTGATATTTATTTACATGTGGTTACTGCAATACTCCATCAGATTTTGTATAATAGTAGTATCAGCTCACAACACGACTAAACAGGTAAACTTCAATCCGCACATGTATATAGAAACATAGAACACATTATAACATATTTATCATTAATTAGTACCTAATTACTAATTAGGTACACTATAATATTATAGTATATACAATAACTCAGAACCTTAAATACATAACATTTATATAGATATGATTTCTGAAAGAGGGGGGGATACAAAAAATTAACGACATACCTAAATGGGAGGGGAAAATTGGAAAATCCCCGGCCTCTCAAAACTTTTTACTAAGGTAATAAAAGCCAATGGGGGGGGGGGATCTGAATCCCAAGTCACCCCCCTTGTCTACGCCACTGACATTTATCTAGATAGTAGATATATCAATCACTTATCACTATAAAGTATAAACATTATAATAGTTAATAGGTACACTATGTTGATTTTAGCACGTGAATTATACAGGTAAGTATCTTACATTAAAACTAGATTAAAAATAGAGGCAATTTCAAACAGCATTATAAACCTATATATAATATTATATAATAAATGAAAAATCACGAAACACAAATTTGAGCGTGTTCTAATTAATATCTCATTTTAGAAATCCTAAATATTTATATATGTTTAAAATATCCCTGTTATTTTTATACATGTTTATGGATTATACATAGTGATTATAGTGGTTAATAGCAATAATTGCTTAAAAATAATTTTATTGGTGTTAAATTATTATATAGAAAAACATTTTTTTTAAGTAACCACAGTACAAAACCATCAGTTTCGACGATTATTGTTTGTAATATAAACAAAATACGTCATATTCAAAAATTAAATTAGAAAACAGTTAAATTTTAAATTTTGAATTCAGCATGATGTATGTGGGCAAAATAGCAAAGTGAGAAGTACAGGAAAGTATGGACTGAGGATGGAATATTTAAAGGATTAATTAATGCGAAAAAAAACTTGCATAGTTGCATGTATGATGTATTATAGGTACCTAATTCAAAAATATTTGATGTACTTATTTTACTTATTTGTGATTATCATATTTTATTCCTATAAATATTTCTTATATACCTATACTGTCTATTATAATATCTATATTTAATCTATATAATATGTTTATAATGAATGTTTAGGTTCGTATAATATATAACAGAAGTTTAAATATTATGAATCATTATTATTCTTGTCATAATATTACAGTTTATCGTCAATCATCTGTACTTCAATTATTCAAAGTACCTACTTATATTATAGGTACTATACTACTATTTCATATAATATATAGGTACATATTATAGTTAATAATCATAGTAGAATAAAATTCATATAAAGTGAGGTACCTATAACATATTATTTCTTATGCTTTCGCTCAAACACATTTTTAGTAAAATGTTTTTATTTTTTACGTTGATTTTAATACCCATGTTTATCTTAGTCTATATTAGGTACCTATATGGGTCTATACATATAATATATATGATTCAAATTTTAAATATTAAATTTTAAATTTAATACTGTCCGTATAATATTATAGTTAAGTGTATAAGTGTTAATTAGTTAAGTGTTTAAAAATTTTGAAATTGTTACAAAAAAATTGCTTGTTAAAAATAAAGAAACACGTCTTTTTTCGTTTTAGCGAAATTCCATATCTTCGTTCCGTAATCGTCAAAAAACCCCGCGTACAATGACATAAGATACACCCTGTATATTGCCATATAGGCATAAAAATTAAAATATCATTAAGTAGGTATTTATAAAGTTACATTTTTAAGTTATTATAAATCAACATTGTTAAAAATATAATATATATTTTTGAAAATTGTAATCATGTTTTTCATAATAACGTTTATGTCTTTTTATGATTATTTTACTACTAGCTGGTAAGTGGTAGTTCCATAGCAGTATGAGTTTTATTTTTACTTCTAACTAATTTAATATTCAAAGGGCGCAACCGATAAAATAAACATAACATAATAGGTAAATAAAATCGTTGTTTATGTATTTCTGATGTATCTTGACGTTTACACACACATGTGGTTCATAGGTTCAGAAATAATGTACACAATATTATAATATAGCCTTGAAATTATTCAAAAAAATAGTATGGGTAGCTTTTTTAAAAAAAAAGATATAGGTAGGTAGTGATGTTTCGTTCAATACCGAAATGGTCAGTTTTTATCTTTGATATTTTTAGTGTTATATCTGTTGCTCACAACAGATGGCAAAAAATGTACTCTATGCTGTTAATTATATCTTGTGTATATGTTTTTTACACTACACCTCAAATTGTTTGCATATTGGAAAACGACTGTGACAACTCATTATCAACGATTATAAAAGGCATGTTTGCGAGGCTGGTAGCTTTGACCTGTATGATATCAAGATGTGCGATTTTTTTAAAGGGTAAAACGCAAATGGTAATGTACAAAAAAAATGTAGACGATTTCCATGCGTTTACACCGATGACATCTTCTGAAACAGATAGGTTGAAAAAAATGTCATCTCGGGCCGTACTGTGTTGCATATTACTCACCGTACCTGTCAATGTGTGCAGATTGTGGATTTTATATTACGTGGCAGAACAAACCGTTCCATTTGTCACTCTGGTGTACTTACAAAACTTCAGCATGTATTGCATAGAAACCCATTTCACCGTGTTGTGTTACATTCTTTATCAAAAGATCGTTGGGATCAACGACGATTTGATGGCGCTTAAGATCGATACGATCGTGCGAAACAAATACCCGTTCGTGTCACTAACTGGAGAGAAATATGGAAAAAACGACAGCACTATTGAATACAACCGAGACGTTTTTCATTCTCTGATTGCCGGCCATCCAATGATTGATTTTTTGGAAAACCTAAAAGCCAAACACAAGTTAGTTAGTCAATCTGTAAAGAATTTAAACAACACGTTTGGAATTCATCTGGGATTGTCATTGTGCTCATTGTGTTTGTACACCTTATTCGACTTATATTATCACCTGCAAGAAGTATGGAAACACTCTAAGTATAAGATTCTAGTCTACGGCTGGATTTTACAATACTTTGTTAGATTTTTACTTATCACTGTCGTCGCCCATATAACAACGAAACAGGTAATTTTAAATATATATCTATAAACACTTACCGTGTTTGGTAATATAAGCTCTCCAAAATCGCGTTCAAAACAGCATACTTTCTATAGGTATAGGTACCTAAATTGTTTTAAAACTATTTCTGATCAAATTTGGTAGGTTATTGTAATAGGTACTCTGTACTGAACATTTTTAAAGTAACATTTTGGTAACACATATCATATTGATTCTATGAAAATTCTTTAAGGAAAATACTATCAGGGACCAGGGTTTTAAAAAATAGGGTATACAATGTATGGGTACACATAATTTATAAAATAATTTGAAACAATAAGTTGTACACTGTATTCTAAAGTATAATAATATTTTCTATTCTTTATCTGTAAAATGATATTGTATATCATATTATTATACTTATATTTAATTATTATAATTTAAAATGTTTGTTTCAGGCACTCAAATCGAAAATACTTATAACAGATATAAACAATCGTTATTTAGATAACAATACTAAGGAAGAGGTACATATGTTTATACAAATTATGATATTTATCTATTAAAATTTAAAATCATATATCTATTTTCATCGACAGTTACAACTTTTCCTCAATCAAATTTCCAGTTGTACAATTGAATTTACCGCTTGCGATTTCTTCACTTTAAACACTCATCTGATCACATCTGTAAGTTGGCCATAGGACCATTCGACTATAAATTGTATGATAAAAACATTTCAAAAGTATTATGTACCTATACTAAAAACTAATTTATTCCACTCAGTATGGAAATGTTTTGGTTTATTTTCAATATGTTTTGTTTGTAGGCAATTGCAGCTGGCACGACATATCTCGTAATTTTATTACAATTTAATTCAGCAAACCATTAAAATGTTATTACCGAAACAAATATACCACTTAATTATATTTTAACTAATTTGTGAAATATTTTATTTTTATTGTCAAACAATAATTTATTTCAGTAAATTAACACAACAAGTGTTAAATTTTCATGTATATTAACAAATTTAGTCTAATTTATCTATATATCTATTTTATAATACATCATAAATATATATTAAAATACATTATGTATCCTATATTATATTATTATATTATATTATTACCTATACTATTTGTTATTTCTTCAAGTTATAGAAAAGCGAAGAATCCACCACTTAGCTCACATTGATAATAATTGATAAATGATAATGCAATGTAATATATTATGACGTAGGTAAAATACTATATATCGACTTGCATTGTTGGTATATATTATAAGAAAAACCACCAGTTTTTGATGTTAACTCAATAAATTAAAAAAAAAAAGGGAAAATAGGTAACCTCTCTACTGCTCTACAGTTTTACTAGATGTAGATACCTCGGCATCGAGGAGTAAATCACTGTAATGTACCATGCAGCATAATATTACTATTCATTAAATGTCTATTTTTATGGGTAGGTAAGTACACATTGTAACAGACCATTGAAAATTAATTTAGAATAAAACTTTTATCAAAACCACCACTCAGTCAGTATTTCAAATTTACATATATACAATATAGAGGAAGACGAGCAATCAAATTGTTTCATTTACCATATTATACGATAATACTATCGTAAATTAAAAAATGACAAATCATAATATTATTATAACCCGTGCCCCGTAATTATATGTATAACAAACAACTTTAAATGTTTTGTAATACTGTCCAAAACAATTTTTGAAAGGCTCGTGACGTATATAGGCACAAATTACAAACCCACTCAAGGGCCTTATTATATGACGTATTTTTACGAAGAGTACTTAACCGTTGTCAATATTATAATCAAGCGTATTGTATACCTATAATACTATACTATAACCCAAGTCGCAAACATGTCGAAACTTCTGTCGACTGTTCCGCGCTGTGTACGCTAACGTCCAGTCGGCGAGCAAAATATTGTCTCGCGAAAACCGCCCTAAAAATTTACGACTGCTCGACGACCACTCAAATTTAACGCCGGACGATGTTCAAGTTTAAAGCGTTCGTCGGACGCGGCCGACAAGTCATCGATGTGTTGTGCACGTTTATGGTGATCGTCGCGTGCCTGTTCAACATCGCGCTGTCGCCGTACTGCATGTGCGTGATGGAGTCGTGTCACGAGCACGACTTGACGGTGCTCGTGCGCGTCAAAACGGTAATGCCTCAGACCGTGGCCGTCGTGTGCCTGGTGATCCAGGCCAAGACCATGTTTCACAGCGCGAACGGCGAGTTCCGCGAGTACGAGGACAGGGCGCGCGAGTACGATGCATGTTTCCCGGACCGGGTCGGCGGCGCTTATTTCGTCGCGTTCATCCTGTCCGCGTACGTCGTCACCATACTTCCGATAAACGCGTACCGCTTGTACCTGATCCACCGGGACGTCCGCGACCACACCGTCACCGCGTTCTTCGTGCTCATGTACTTGCAAAACATGTGCACGTGCTCGATGGAAATCCACTACTTGGCGCGCTGTTCCAGGCTGTACCGGCGGTTCTGTCGGATCAACGAGGACATGTCCACGCTCAAGTTGGCGACGGTCGCCGCTAACCGGTACCCGTCCGTGTTGCTGCAGCAATCGGTCAACGGACGCGACGACGACGGCCGACGCCGCGGGACAACGTCCGGGACGAGTCCCACGGCCGGCGACGTCGAGCTGCTCCGGATGAGGCACCAGTGCGTACGGGACGCTGTCGGTGACCTGAACGACTTGTACGGCGTCCAGCTGCTGTTGTCCCTGTGCATCCTGTGCTTGATGACCGTGATCGACACCTACGGCGAGATGTTCCACAAGTACTCGCTGGCCATTTCACAGGCGTTCCTGTATGTGTGGCTGACGCATTATTCCTTCAGACTGTTCGCGATCGTGTTGACGACCCATTTTACGATGAAACAGGTGTTTTTATATGGTTTTAGCGTCTGTGAATAAGGCGGGTTCTCACTATACACGTTTTCCGTGTACACGAAAAATGTTCAGCTATGTCCAACAACACGGTATAATGGTTAATCGTGTGGTAACTTAACCTAACCAACCAATCAGAGCAATGATTGTATGCATGTACGTATAGTATGGAAACCCGCCTTAACAGTTTTAAACGGCGCTCTCGTACACGGTGATAATTGCATCCATCATGCTCACCCCCATTTCTTCCTCTAATAATGAGTTTATTCAAGTTCAAATTTTTGGATTTTTCAAATATAGGTACTTCTCAAAGACTATATTTTTAAATTCTTGCGATTTGTTGTAAATTATATAAGGAGAGGAAGAGACGACATTATGTTAGCAACGAATCATCAAAAAAAAAGACCACGGATAAAAAATCTACAGAAAAAAATTGAAATATAAATATGAACACATATATGTATATACATATTTGTATACAAATTCTGATTCCACCATTGTACTTAACTCGATGAAATATATAGATTTCCAAAAAAAAATTCTAAAAATATGGCTTTGGAGATAAACTGCATTTTATATGTAGATTCGTAGAATAATCTGCTTACTATATCTGCTTATAATCAATGATATAATATACTCAAAATACCGAACTTCAAAATTTTATAACTAGGTTCGGGAGTTCGGTACTTTTTGCACTAAAAATTATCGAAATATGCAGTCGAAATTGTCAACATATGCTTAATATATATCACTAATTTATTATTTTTCAAAAATGTATAAAACGTATTACGATTTTGAAAATAAAAACTAAAAATTAAGTACCTAGGTATATCTTATACCTAGGTATAGTATTATATCGATGGCGTAGCGCACAAGTGTGAAAGTGACATTTTTTTTGAAAAATGCGTTAAGTGCATTATCAATTAATTCCTCCAATTATGCCACATTATGCAACACTTGTACGTGAATAGTCATTATTTACGCCCGATCGGAAGTTCGTACAGTTCGTTACATTTTTTCATTTGTTATTAATCTAAACTTTACACATCGTTCTGACCAATTACGAAAAGTCACTTATCACACTTGTGCGCTTACGCCACCTATCTATTACTACGATTAAAACTATAATTATTATTGCACTGTTTACTTATTCGAATTTATATTGATTAAGATGGACAGTGGACACTATTGCATGTTTTGGAAATTTTTAAACTATCGTGAAATAAAATAACTTAATTTTTAAACAATAATTTATAATTAGAAATTATAACACAATATACATGTATTATGTATACATATGTGTTCATAATTATATTTAAATTTTTTGCTTGGGCTTTTTTGCCACTCGTTAACAACAGATGTGCGCACTCAGTGACCGACGATAAACCCTAATTATAAAATAAGGGAAGTTATAGGTACATTGACAATTAAAAAAGGTGAGCCTGTATTTACCTGTATTTGTTTTCATATATTTCCAAGTTGCTTTAAAGATCAATATTTAATTCAAGATCATATTATTCGACTATTATTTTATTTGGGTGTCACCGGTTTCCGCCAAAAATTACCTTTCCGTTTTCCGCCAATACCTTTTTCCGCCAAATCAGAAAAAACGTCATTCCTTTTTCCGCCAATTATAAATTATTGAATTTTAAAGTTTAGGAACCCTTACGTAAAGATTTAATAATTGCACACTATAGAGTTAAAAAATAATAATATTTTTTCCAGTTATTACTTATTATATGTTAGTAATGATATTAGTATACCGACAAAATAAGTCAAAAAATATAATTTTGTCATAACACTTATTAGGTAGGTATAATAGATATAAGTATTAAAAAAATTATATTTATTTAAACTATGTTTCAGTTTTTACAATGTGATTTCAATTTCAAGTTTCGGCCAATTAAACAAGCGCTGACATATTGACATATTGTCATCAAGACAATGCAAATATAAATATCATTTTTTTAATACTTATATCTATTATACCTACCTAATAAGTGTTATGATAAAATTATATTTTTTGACGTATTTTGTCGGTACACTAATATCATTACTAATATATTATAAGTAATAACTGGAAAAAATATTATTAAAGGGTATAAACTTTATAAATTAACTAATTTAAATTTTTAAATGAGGGATAATGATTATAAAATAACAATTTTTTTTTGCTATTTACTATAATATGTTTAGCTAGTTGTATAGCTAATTTTTAACGGTATAAAGTCCGAATCCGGGTTATATGAATTCCTCGCTTTCAATCTCATAATATAACGTAAGGTCCGAGTCCTGACGGAGTGACAGCGCATCTCGCATGTTTGATGACAAGATTTTTTTTTTTTTATATTTTTATTTTAAATAAAACAAAAATTATCTACCACCTTTAAGCACATGCTTGTGGTGGTGGTAGAGAGTTATATAACATAATTATAAGTAGAAAAAAAAGCTGACAAGAATTTAGTAATTAATACATACAATTAGAATACTTATACTAATATTAAATTACAAAGTTAAATATATTTCGCTATTATTTATTAAAGTATTGAAAATAACCAAATATGAATTTTTTTTTTCATTCCTTTAGTTATACGATTCCCTTCTGTAAAGAATATGTCCTTTTTTATTTTTATTGGCATTAAGTTATAATTATTTGGACCTAGGTAATCAATTCATTTTTGACCAAACGTAGATAGGTACTATATATTTTATTTGCCATACTATATTCTCTATATCAGATCCACTAATGGTTTTGCAATCAAATCGCTCACGACTTTTGTGATAATATTATTTAGGACTTACCTATAGGTAATTTATATTCGTTATTTGCGGTGGGCATAACATTTTTTTTTTGTTAGAAAATAGAAACCTTAATATTAAAATAATAATTATTTATGAATCGTAACATATTTCATAATATTATACACTCACAATTTTAATTTTTTAGGCGTATAGAACCAAAATGCTCGCATCTGACATAAACAATCGAATTTTAGATATCAGCACTAAGGAAGAGGTAAACAGAAAACTTGTTCAATAATATGATGATGACTAATAATTTTTTTTTTGTTTATGAATGTTAAAGTTGTACTTGTTTTCCAATCAAATATTACGTCGTTCACTGGAATTCACTACCTGCGATTTTTTCACATTAAACGCTCACTTCATTACTTCTGTAAGTCAACATAATATGATATTATATTGTTTTAAAATTTGTATTATGATCGACGGAAAAAATATTACAGCATTATGGTACGTATGCACTAACTCTACAGAGTGAAGAATGCTCACCCACATTTTTTCCTTTAATAATGAATTTATTCAAATTCTGATTTTAAATATACTCATAGACCATATTTGAAAATTCTTGAATTTGTTTTTACTTCTTAAGGAGTGTCCCGTGGCTAAACAAACTTCTGTTTTTCAACTGACAACCCTTCCCCTTTTTATTGTAAATTATTTAGAGGGCCATTTTTTTGAAAATTGTGATGTACCTAATTTAAAATTCGAATAAGTATAGGTAGTTTCATAGTTATTAAAATTTTTGTATTAAGGATAATAGACCTCATAAATAATTTTACATAAATATATTAAAATAGAAGACGTAAAACTGGATCTAGTATTTATTTATTTTATTATACTTGAGCCATTTTGACAAATTATTAATATTGATAGATTAATATTAATTACTATAATTCAAATCTCCATATCCCTCATATCGTATTAACCCATTACCATGGACCTTTTATCCTTAAAACCCAAAGCTGAATTAAGTACTCAAAACCTACTCGTACGAATTTTGTTTCTGGTACGTCAAAAACTTCAGCAAAATTAACCACTGTACCTATAATTTAGAGTTGAAAACTGGTGTTCTCATTTGAAAACCAGAAGTTTGTGTCTCCACAGGACACTCTTTAAGTAGTACAAGAAATATATATGTATATACATATAAAAACGTGTATTCGAGTATTTCTTTATGTAAAGGTAAAATTTCGAAGAAATGAGAATAAATAATTTTCAACGTTTTTCAATAATATTTCACTATGCAGATAAAACCATAGGTACTATAAAGAGTAATATTTCCGTATACTTACCCAATAAATTATGTTATATTATTGGTAGTCGTAAAAATGATTTTCTAATATTTATTATTATTTTATTTTTAGACGATTTTCGCAGTCATAACATATTTCATTCTGTTGTTCCAATATGTTCGCTAAACGAAAGAAAATAGTAATAATACAGACAAATAAATACATATATATATATATATATATATAAAGTGTACATTAGAATTATAATTATTTTAGTATAATCATACATGGTTTTGTGTTTTTTTTTTTTATCATAGCTTTTATCTATTAACGTTATATTATAGCTTAATGATTAGATAGGTATATTATTACAATTGAAGCAGGGCAAAATTATGTATATACTATATAGTGTGTAAATGCTAAGAGGTACCACTAAATATTTCAGTTCGATGACCTTGCATTGAAATGGGGTTTTCGCTGAATGACAGATAGTACTTAAATACACATTTTCAGATAAATTTCAAATTTTTAACAAATTTCGATACACGCATGCGCGGTACAACTTACTTTTTTTTAACGGTAACATCAATTTTTTTTTATATATTCGGACAGAGTATTTTTTTTTAAAAGAATTTATTTAGAAAATTTTTTTCTATAATTACAAAATTGACATATGAAATGTAACTATGCAATTTAATATTTACGAGGAATAAATGTATAACGAACAGAAAATATACTATCTAATTACTGGCAAATGTTGTCAAAGTTATTTTTACTATTTTATCTGTGTGCAAACAGGTATTTAACAATATATTGGATATTATAAATAAGTAACAATAAGTTGAATTTAGTTTAGATTTTGTCAAAAAAATTACTCTTAAATATTAAATTTCACCGTTAAATTTGATACTCCAATTTTGTAATTAGAAAAAAACTTTTTATGAATAAATTGTTTAGAAAAAAATACTCTATCCGAATATGTAAAAAATAAATTATGTTACAGTTTAAAAAAAAGTGAGTTGTATCGCGCATGCTCATATCGAAAGAGTTAAAAATTTGAAATTTATCCGAAAATGTGTATTTAAGTAGTATCTGTCATTCAGCTAAAACTCCATTTCAATACAAGGTAATCGAACTGAAATATTTAGCGGTAAATCTTAGCTTGAACACACTGTATATACAAATTAGCGGTACCCATTTTACACCAAAAGTGTTACCTTTTCCAATAATATTAAAAGCTTTCATATAGGAAATGTATTTAAAATACCTACTGTAAAATATTAAGAAACAATATACATCATACATTTTAATGAATACAATAATATATCTACATTAAATAAAATTAAAACAATTTTATATTTTTATAAGCATTCAATACTATCTTCTTAAGTTTAAAAAAAAAGAAATACTCATTATAATTAATTATATTATATATATATTTTTGCAGGTACTATTTATGTGTATTTAATATTTTTATATATTTCTTTAAATAGGACAAGGGACAGATTTTTGTGGAAACTGGTATTGGTGGAAAAGGGATTGGTACTCGTCTTTTGGTAAAACGTGTTACGCCCCCACAAATTACTTGACTGGGGTATTTTATATTTTTAAGTACTAACGATTGTTTGAAAATTTATGAATAAATAATAATTATACCACCATTATGTAATTATAGATTATTGAATATTATGTACTTTTTAAACGGAACACAAATTTTAAGTAGTAAATATAATAATAAATTCATAAAAAATAATGATACATCTTAATTGTTGTTCTAATTTCCTATCAAAATAGACAGCTGCTCGCCGCCTCGTCACTTAGTTCGCAGTCCATCGCTAGGTTTTAAATAAATATTCAATTTTTTATACACGCATTTGTATAAACATATAATACTCTATTTTAGCGATAATGTGCTATTTGAATACATTCTATGACTATGTTGGAGTAGTGATTTCCACGATGTTAGTGTTTTCGTGTGTCTATAGTTGTATAGAATCTCCAAAATTCATGTGCCATCTAAACAATTGCAACACCTCGAAGTCTACGATTATGATATCTATGTTTCCTCGAGCAGTTTCTATCGTATGTATGCTATCCAAATTAACTGTTATGTACAACGATTTAAGTGCGACCATTAAATACGAGAATAACATCAAAATGTACGAAATGTACCATCCACGGTTGGACGCGGATAAAGCAAATTTTCGCATTTTCGTCATTGTCATGGCGTCTCTATGTACTATTATAGTGCTGCCGGTCAATGTGCTTAGAATTTATTTACTCTATGGTCAATTCCGAGATGGCTCAATGGTTCTGTTTTTTTCAATAATGTACATACAGACTGCAAGTGTGTGTATTACCGAACTACAGTTTATCGCTCATTGTTTCGGATTATATCAAAAATACCGATCGATCAACGATGACATGGCCGTTTTGAAGTCCAGAACGATCGTCACAAACAGATACCCGGCGGTATTGAACCCTGGAAAATATAACAGCATTGGTGATAGTTCGGGTTTTAATGACGATTTCTGTCAAGAAATCAAAGAGTGCCAGCTGGTCAACAGTATCGAATCGCTGAAGATGAGACATCGGTTCGTCAGCGACTCGGCTAGTGACCTGAACGATACGTATAACCTACAATGGGGGTTGTCTCTGTTTATTTTACTTGTAATGATGTTGTTTGATATTTACGAAGTCATGATCACGGAATTTAACATGATCGAAATGAATTGGATACTGTATGTATGGTTGCTTCAGTATTCATTTCGATTTTGTATGATTGTGCTCATAATACACGTCACTACAAAACAGGTAATTGTGAATATTAGCTAACCACTATCGGCTCAAAACTGTAAATCGATCGCACTATAAATACCTACTGTTAGACATATGCATATGGTGGCCACTTTATCCGGGGCAGCTTCTTTTAACAAGTACCTAATTTAATTTTTTTTTATTGTGGGCCTCGTCCTTGAGGCCTGTCGAGTTTTTCACAGGTACTTATCTATACAGATAACCTGATACCCAAGTGGTTATTTTCATTAGTCAATTAATACAAAAATTGAAAATCTCGTAGGTACCTAATCAAACAGATATAATAATAATAATAATCATCTAGATATTATCATTATTTTGGTTTACGCATAATTTGTGATTTTCCTAATACCGCATAGGTAGTGTCGTAGTGAAATATATCCATACCAATTTCATGTCACTTTTTACTAAATTACTTGAATAACAGTAAAATAAACTTAAAATCTGAATCATGCAAAATAAAATACTATTTTTCAACTATTTATATAGGTAATAAAATAAATATGTATCCTACTCAGCCAATTTTGAGTTGATTACACTGATTACACTCAAGTTTGCAAACTATATAAAATCCAAGTCTTGGCAATAATATATCATAAAATTCATAATTCGTGTACAGCTAGGGTATCCTGCCAAGTTCATTGCCATAAACAATTTATGTTCTAATGATTATAATTTTTTTTAAATTCATGAATTTTTTTAATGAATCGGATTTGTAACTCACATATTATGATTTCTGATTTAAATTGATCAATATGCCAACACCGGTTATACATATTGAATTTAAAATAAAATAATGGAAAATAACATAATATATTATTTATTAATTTTTTATCACTCAACAGAAATCGTCACAACAGTGTTATCTCAATTTATCACCAACTTAAATTCTGCAATTGGGCCGTTAATTCCCTCCTCACTGATGTAATGCAAAAACGCTTTACTCCATAGTTCAACCATCTATTTTTGTTTATCGCATTACTTAATTATTATTTCCATTAAGATTATTATATCTAATAATATATCAATTAATTTTCTGTCTCTACCTTAATTGGCTATAGGTATAAATGTCGATTATTATTCTTACCTATTTTATTGTATGTTAAATATTATCATTTATCATATACTTTAATTATGTAATTTTAATATTGTAATTTTATCACTAATTTTAATTCTTATGTCCTCTCACTCCTCCAATAGTCAAATCTAAATGATTAAAA